CAAATTCCAATTACAGTTCTCCTCTTTAGATTGGAGGTCTAGTTATTGAGTCAGTCTCTCCCAATCTGTACTACACGGTGTATAAGATTGCAGCCTCACATAAGTATTAACTGATGTGACAGCTGGGCCATCAAGAAATATTTCAGATGTGTTCCTGCCATCGCTGTTGCTCATCTCCCCTCCGGAATAGATGCTGTGAATCATTTGTACATTAAAATGAGAAGCCGTTCCTCCTGCACAGTAATGAGATCCGTTGGTCCTTTTTCACATGTACAGTGTAAATGTGAGACGGCTTTTTAGCACATCACAAACATTGCCTGTGGCTTTGAAGCTTACTTCACATCAAAATCGTTCAGTTTTATGAAGTGCTTCACTGGTTCATTGTGCAAGTTTGAAATAATCAGCCAGAAAATGCCAACAGAGTTTTGTTCTACAAAATGCTTCAGTCATTCATTGTGCATGTTCAATTTATAAGAAGCCAAATTAGAAACAGATGTGCAGACCTCTCCCCATCCTTAATGTGTGTTTCCGGTGATTTCCCATCTGTGTGGCATCTTTCTCCCACTGGCGACAAAAACACAGGACAATTATCAGTTTCTCTATATTTGGTCAAATTTTCAGTGTTGTCAGCGTGGACAGAAGGATGTCAGCAGATATCCACTATATTGTGCATCGCTAAATATTTTCTATGGTCTGCTGTGGCTCAAGAGTGCTATAGCTTCAATTGTTCTGCAGTGATATGAAAACTCAACTTTTGATCTGAAAACATCCTCTTGGCTTTTAGCAGTTCAAGTTGAACCTGCGTCAGACAGACATGAACTTGATTCTGCATGTCACCCACATTGCAGATGTTCTGACCAATCAAATAGAAGTTATAGTGTTAACAGTGGTGGCCAAAGTACAGTATCTCATCATCACTTCACAGCAGTACACTGTGACTGTCACTTCATTTGAAAGCCTCCGTTAGAAAGTTGTCGTATTTTGTATATGAAACAGAAGCAGCAGTTTTACACTTTTATTGATTTGTTCACTGAAAACTAGTTAAACACAAATGTTTCTTTTTATAAGCTGCACTGTTGCATCTCCATAGACATTATCAGATTCTCTTATTATTTTAATACTTGATAATATTGATGTGCTGAGGTTGCAGCTCTGCTCTGATTGCTTTTTTTTTGTCTCTTTCTTGCACGTTATCTTCCATCCCTCTTCACCTCAAGATATCAGAGTAATCTGTTCTTGTCTGTCACCTCTCTTAACCCGCCCGATAAGGGAGGTAAGAGTCGTGCTCCTTCCTGAGAACGGATGTTCCTCCTTGACAACATTGACACAAACAAAAGTGCCTCTGCTCCGTTTGTACAAAAATAGCTCCTGTTGAGGCCATAAAAACAGAGGTTGTTTACCATTACTAATCTGCCCGGGGAAGTCTTCAGTCAGCTGCAGTCCACTGTGCATCGGTTTCTTTTCCTCCAGTATTTCCTGTCAAGGCGTTTAATTAACCGATAATGAAAGCAACTGTCATGAACAGGGGATTTGTGACTCAGTTCTTCATGTGCTCAAGTCTTGCATCAGCCTTTGCTTCATAGCTGAGTCTAATCGTAAAATATTTTTCAAATAAGGATTCGCCATAGCAAACCCACCACTGAATCACATTTAGGGAACTATAATGGGCATTTAAAAGGCGCTGATGGGACATTTTCAAGATGGAGCTGCTTTAAATAGTTTGGATGATTATGTCAGCAGAATTTTTCATTCTCTCAGTTTGTAACATTTGTGGCAATAAATGCAAATGATAATGTCTGTTTTGGGGCTTTTTATCCCCTTATTATAGAGGACAGTGGATAGAATAGGAAACAGGGATGAGAGTGTGGGGAATGGTATGTGGTTAAGTGCAGAGGGTCAGCGATGAACTTAGGCTGCCCAGGACTAATGTCTCTTTAAATGTGACATTAAAGGTCAGGTTTTGGTTGGTTTTGTCATATTTTGAGTCCACATCCTCCACTGACACAACTACACTAAAGCTACAGTCCCCTGTTTGACACAAAGGAAACATAGATTCACTCCCAACCATTAAACTGCAATGGATTTTTTTGTGTGCAAAAATGATAGTGTCCTGGTTTTTAAGCTGGTCTTTAGGGATTCAGAATTGGGACCACATTTCTGAAACAGTATAGAATTTGAACGAGGCACCGTCCCAATTAAAGTCTCTGTTCAGGATTACACACAAGGTTGTCTCCCACACAGTGCCGGAGGGTTTTATTCAATGGAAATCAAAAGACAGGAGTCTTCCTCACACCAGCTTTTTATTGTGCACTGTACCATTTCCTCACAAGCCGACTTAATCAGTTGGCTGTTGTTAAACTATTGGCAGATTTGTTGGCCCTACCTGCATGACTCTGCGTTGTATACATTGTTCTCAAAAACTCCACAAAGTTCCCTTCTTAGACAAAGTTCTCAAGTAATCAAACCCAATGTGAATAAGTTTGACCATTGAGTATTTCAACGCACAAGGAAACCTCTGGGCCAACTGTGTTTCTCATCCATATTTTAGTAGCTTCAGTGTCTGTCGTGTTGTTTTTTTTTTTTGTGACAGTCAGCTCAGTACAGTGTGACATGTGATCTGCATTTCTGTCTTCATCTTTGACAGTCTTCTTGATTCCACTCCTATAACAAACTAATTAATCAGAAGTTTAAAATGTATTGAAATATAAGCAACTGAGGGAGTTTTTCTCTCCACTTTTTAGTTTGCCCATATTTGAAGTCTTTGCCGAGCATGCTGGCCACAATAACAGTAAGATTCTAACTTTGTAAGTATAAATCCTCTGATAATTAATCCAGATATGTTTGTACACATTTTCCAAATTGTCCTTCTCACATGGTGGTTTCCTTCACCATATGACCCTGAAGTTGACCTTTTGACCTTCCTCCCTGCTCAGAAACACACACAGAAACACACACGGACAGACATACAGACCTGCATTCATGAGGCGATTAAGGTCAAAGAGGCAACCGCTCTCAGAAGCTGTTGTGCACTGGAGGCTTTTTACCCCTCTGTGTGCTTTCCATGCTGAAGTGTGAACAGTTCACACGTCCCTGCAGATGAAAATGGCTGACCTCTTCAGCAATACTGTGATTCAAACCAAAGAATGAGAAACATCAGCAGCAGTATTCAGAGACCTTTTCTTTGGTTAAAGTACACACATTGAAACTAAATCATGCTGCTCTCTCTGCTCGAACACTGTGTTCAGTGTTGATGCTATATTTAAACACTAATTGTAGGTTTTCTATTGTAATGACTACAAAATCTACAAAACCATCTGTAAAACAAAATACACAGCTGTTTGTTTTTCTGCAGAAAAGGAAGCTTTTTTTAAAATTTTTATTTAGATAAGGAGCATTTTTATTGGGTATTGTGGATTTGACTTTTTTTTTTGTTATTGCTTCACAGAAACAACTACAAAAATATATATTGTGTATCACCATTCAGCAAAAATATAGAGATTTGAATTTGTAATACAGCCAGTCCCGTCTTCTTCTAAGGCAAGCGTTAGGGCACACATTGGATTCCCCCAGGTACGAGGAAGCTTGACCCAGCATACACAAGAACCCTCTGTGCATTTACATTATTGCAATTAGCTGATACAAATATATATAAAAGTTTCATTATCTAGAACATATTTGATTGTACCTTTTAATGTCAAATATGAATTTGCAACTTCTTAGTGCACAGTGGACAGGAAGTTGATCCTAAAATAATCACCTTTTTGGAATAACTAAGGAATGTGAATTGCTTTAAACAGAAAATTGATTCTGAATTAACAAGAATCAACACTGAATCAAAATCTAATCAAATGTGAGGTACTGGAAGATTCACACCCTTATTGCTACACTCTGTCAGATGTGTCTGAACACTAGGAATAGCAATGTAGCTGTTGTTGTGCAGGCAGACACATGTTTGCCCTCACAGATCACCTCCACAGTGAGCTCTGCCACACACCCTGTGAGGTGTGAAGTGGGTGCAGTGTGTCTCATTATGAACAGTTGTGTTGGCTTTGGCATGAGGAGAGTAAAGGGCTGCTCGGCTCAGCCAGCAGTCATAGCATTTTACAGGTTTGTCAAAGAGAAAGAGGTCAAGTAGAGAAGAGAATTAAAGAGCGTTTAGAGCTGTAAAATAGACCCCAGATGAGAGAATGAGCTGCTGCTGGATTTATGATTTGTTCATGTTGACTTTACTTTACAGTCTGGCTTAATGTGAGCCAAACTCTTAAACATATGTGACAGGTTTTTCTTTCTCACTTGCAGCATTTTGAGCTAACAGGTCTCTGACATGTGAAGTGTCAAAAGGCCAGGCTGTTTTCGGCCACGTTGCAGAAACTGAACAAACAGCAGCATCAGGGTGAACAGAGTCTCAATGACAGTCTTGTTTAAATCACTGTCGTGTCACTGCAGGGTCACAGCGAGACTCCCCTCTCCGCTCCTCTCTCACATAAAACAGAGACTTAAAGGAACGATTTTAGAAGAAGGGAAGAGGATGGAGAAGCCGTTAGGGCACCGCTCAGCATGACCTTGAATCATGATGACTAAGAGGTTACAGACTAGTTGTCTGTATCTCTGCCAAATAAAATGCTGTGAAACGTATCTCGATGTATTGGATACAGTTTGAAAGGGAAACAGTCTCACTTTAGGTTGGTGAAGGGGAGAAATAAAAATGTTTTCCAACTTAAGATAATTGATTTGAAGGTGATCTGTAAATCTTGTCGGCATGATTTATCTTCTTAGAGTTGACCTTTTATGGGACCTCAGAGACACTACTCAGAATTAGCAGACAAGCTACAGACCACTGACCCTTTTGACTAGAATTGGGCCGTCAACAGTTTTAGATCCGTCCAGAGGTCCATGTGTTGATGTACTTACATTGTTGAATGTTTAAACCAGTATCCTACTTGTATCAGTGATTGACTTCAAGCCTAACACTCGGTCTTCTCTCTGTGTTTTTTCTACAGAAGGGATCTGTAACATGACGATGGACTCCAACTCGATGACAATCCCCCTGTCAGACCCCAACGCCTGGGCTACAGCCATGAACAACCTGGGGATGCCTCCAATGGGAATAACCGGACAGCAACTCATGCCAGGTAACACACTGACTACTGTTCAACACCGAAACCTGAACCACAGATTTTGTGTTGCAGGTTTATTTATTTCACATGTTTTCTAGAGCACACTTTAAGGTTATATTTTTTTATTGGAATAAGGAATAAGTATTACATATGATCATGATCATGCAATTCTGCCTCTTCTGAAAGCATAATAGTGAGGCGTTCAGGATTATTTTTTGCACCAGTGTATAAGACGCAGCCAACTCTTAAGATGAAAATAGCAGCTGCTGATTGAAAGCAGATGATCATTTTCATCAGTTCCTAGCAATAGGAAAGTAAATTGCCAGTAGTTTAATAGCATCTTTTTTTTTTTACAATAAAACTTTATGAAGTAGTGGTAATCTCATTAATTGGATTTTTCTTATCATTTGCGAGCAGTTATTAGTGAATGTCAAGTACTGGCACGCATAGGAGGTTTTTCAGGCAACAGCATGCACATGAGGGAAAACACGCTCTAGCAGGATATCTTTGCTGTGCTCGCACAAATCAACCTCACTTTTGAAATATTGGGGGCATAGACCTTGGATGGAACTGTCCCATTTTGGATTCATGATTTCAAAGACCATAGCGTCCACATAATCAGACTCATTAAACCTTGATTGACAGCTGTGGTTACATAATACCTTCTGTTGGTCTCAGTGTAACTGTTATTTAGCTATTAGTTAGTTTAATATGTTACGTTAAATTAGTTGCAGGAGAGACTGGGGAAGACGAGGAAGCTAATTTATTGTTCAGATGGGAAAGTAACTACGAGTAATGTTAAAGTTATAGTAGCTTTGAAATTGAAAGCCAGTCCGGCCTGGAGCGGAGCGGGGGCTCTATGTGATAGCCCCGGGATGCCTGGAGCTAGCTGCAGGGCTATCGGAGCTCCATGGCTAGAGTTAATGATCAAGCTAATAATCAACATTAAACACGGCCTCGTGAAACAAAGAGCTCTAATCAGTCAAAATAATGGATTGTCTTCAGTGGGTTTCCCATGAGTGATCAGGGTCTTTTCGCCTCCTGGGGTAACTGATGATGTACCAGGAGAGAGGAGGAGGGATGAGATGTTGATGGAGAGGGAGGAGACTCAGGTTATTAGCTGTCTCCCCTAGTAGATCACCTGCAGTAACAGCATGTGTTTCCTACCTTTCCCTCATCATCCCTCCTTTCCTACCTTCCTGTCACCCTCCTTTTTCCCCCCCTCACCAGCCTAAATAACCCAGACTCTCATTTATATCTTGTAACAGCTGAGTCAGCAACTGTAACTGAGAGCTGCACTGAACACATGCTGTTACTTTCTGAGCCCCTTCACACACTCAGACTCCTCTGAGTCACACTGAAATGATCATCTGGGCTCAAACAGAACAAAAACTGATGTTGAGGCCCCTCCAACTGTAAATTATATACATAATATAAATGTAAAAGAATGCTAGAAAATGCAATTATCTCTCTCTCTCTCTCTGTCTCTCATAAGATTTGTAAATATATGTCTAATATTTAAATTCCGGACATGTGCTGCTGTGTCATCATCTCTCGACACATATTTTACCCACAAGCCCCTTCTTTCTAGCCCTGCATTTTTCACTTCACTCAGGACAATACTGCTCAAGTTGTTGAGAAATGTGGAAGTGAGAAAGAATCCACTTAAACACTCTCATCTGGCTTTACTCATTTTCTCAGTTTAAGAAGAAGCAGCTCAATGTTAAAAACGTACTGCTTTAAATTCAGCTATGTAAGGGATGCACTTTGCCTGAAACATATTATACGCACTCCTCTTTCGTTGCCATTTTCACATGATGTCTCATGGGGTTTCCGTCACGCAGCTCTTGTTCTCAGAGCACCTTGTGGCTTTGAAGTTACTCCAGGTGGATGAGATATTGATTCTTCATCATGACTGAACATCATCTTTGTCTCCCTTTTTGTTTCACCTCCAAACAACAGCGCAGAATTCCCCATCACTCTCTTTGTCCTTTCCTGTTTTATCTACGAGTGTGCTGATGCGTTTGTGTGACTGGTTGTACATTTCCATGTAGGTTTAAGTGGTTTTTTTTATGCCTCATTATATGCTGGACTGCTTTCATCATAAGTTATAGTTGGTCTCTGTTTCATCCTCGGTGTGTGAATGTGTTTCCTGCCTCCAGCCAAGTGGATATTTGCAGACAGACAGCTGGATAAACAGATCATTGTGAGCAGAGCATTCACCCCACTGCAGCCTCACATGTCTGGTACATGTCTCTAATGACGACAGTTTTATTTCTATAGATGGTCTGGATGATTATTGTGTACATTGGAGAGTTATTACTACGTGTATAAGTGAAGTCTTTGGATGGGGGAAGAGATGTGAATCTAGTTTTTTGTTAGAACAATATGGGTCCTTAACAATACAGTACTATAGTGTGCTTTGTTTGATAATGTTGTTATGCGGATCCTGCATGTATGACATCTGTTGCATGTCTATCCAAGGAGAGGGATAGCGCTGAGATTAATCCTAATTGTGTTCCTGTTTAAGGAGTTCTCATTGTTTCAAAGAGCGATGGAGCATGTTGTCATTCAAACAATATTTAAAGCCCTTTCAAGCAAATAAATATTTATAAACAAAATGGACTTGACTTGTATAGCCCAAGGTTTACAGCAGTTTCTGACTCACCCACAGCTGGCCATAAGGGAAAGAAGGAGGCCGGGGGAGTGAACATTGAAATAGAGAATCAATTCCTCCTCAAATCTAATGGTTGGAAAACGTCAAAAATGTAATAAATAATGTTAAACAGGAGTCTGGTTTCAAGTGTATGTTGTTACATTTTAGTGATTGAAACAATACCATCAAAAAAGGGGAACAAAATGAAAGCCTCTTCAGATTCTTGACAATGAGAAGACACAAATAGGTCATGTGAACTTATGGGGAGTAAGCCAAAATCAAAAAGTCCTATAGAATGTGTGAACTTTGAGAACTAAGCAGGAATTGCAACAATAACATCAGGATTCAACATCTGGTTTAAACATCTGACAGAAACAGAGACGATGTCTGTCCAAGAGCGTTCACCATGTTTCCCCACCCTTCATTGGTTCTCTCTCGAACACACCCAGACTATAAGCAGAACCAGATGGAGAGATATCAAGTTCCTCATCCATATGTATCTCAACGTCCGGACCTCCCAAGATGGTTTTTATTAACCGGAGACATTCCACAGTATGGATTGTATCACTGTTTTTGCTTTTAATGTGCATTTAGCAGCTCCACAGATCTTCACTTGGCTTTTAACAAAATAACCTCCACCATTGAGTCCTAACCTTTTTGGAGCTCATGCTTTAAAAAAGTCCTCGTTGTTTGTGAAAGCACTTTGCAACATTTGTCAGGGGAACTGCTCTTAAAATCTGGCCTCAGTGTGGAGAGGTTCAACAAAAGAGTCATTTAGCTTTTAACTTTTATTTGAATATTTTTTAGAGACCTGAAGTGGCCAGTGTATCGCAATTCCTTCACAAAAACACTCAAACTTTGAAGAATGGTCATGAAAATGAAACAGAGTAATAGTTTGTGGAGTTAAGGTAATTTAGTGCTGGAACGTCATTGGAACTGTAAAAAGACAATAATGCAGTAGACGCAATGCTAGTAATTAGTGTTGGAAACGTAATACTATTTAACAACAACTTTCTAAAGTGAGATTCTCTTTAATGGGTGAGCATGAAAAAAGCTAGACCAAATGTAATCAATCCATAGTTGTAAAAATTCAACATGAAAACTTACAGGTGTGTCTGTACAGGGCTGTGAGAACAGTGTTGCTTCTTAACGCCTCTAATCAAAATACACAACATAAAAGAGCATGTAACAGCAGTATTTGTTCTGTTTGTTTATCATAAGCATGATGTACTATGTTTTTTTTTTTTTTTACATTGAGGGTCAAAGCTGCTCGCTTGGGTTGCCAGTAGCATAGAGGTTAGTGAGCATCCCATGTATGGAGGCAATGTCCTCAAAGCGGGCGACCTTGGTTTGAATCTGACCTGTAGTTTCTTTTCCGCGTGTCACTCCCCGCACTCTCTCTCCTGATATCTGACCCCCTACATTGTCCCATCTCTAACATAAAGGCAAAAAAAAAAAGACCAAAAATAAAAACCTTAACAAAATGCTTACTTGACAAAAACTAATATTGTGCAGAACCTAAAAAGGATGCTGCTTGACAACACACACAAACACACACACACACACACAAAATGAAAACATTTAGCCTCTCACACACGTGTTGGCAAGGTTAAGAAAGTTAATTTTAGATTCACATTATTATGCATGCATACACACCAACTGACTGAAACACTCTCTAGAATAGATAATGAGGCTCAAGGCACAGACAACTCTTCCTTGAATAAACAACCACTCCTTTGTGTGCATCATCCCCCTCATCCTCATCCCTGTCCCTAAAGACGCACAAACTTACACCCACACTCACCCACAGTGGTATATATGAAAAGTTAATGTCATGTCTCACAACCAAACATCCAAACAGCGCTCATCATGTGAAGTGAAAGCACTCAAGAATCCCCCAAGATATGAATCAGGGTCTCCTCATTGTCACACATTAGCTCACCTGAATCCCCATCATGAATTATATTAACTGACAGTCATTCCTTTGCCGTAAGCCTTTTCCAATCCTTGGACTGAACACAGTGTCCCTTTCTGCTGACTGCTCGGGAGTTGCACTGATTTTGATGCCAGAAAGTTTTGGCTGTGTGTAGGTGGACAGAGTGGATATACTTTGGATATACAGTGTGTCTGAGGGGAGAAATAATAGAGCAGAAGTTACAGGGCTGCAGTAATGGGCCGATGGAAAGCTCTTCCTTTCTATGGCAGCTTTATTAGATTGAAGGATAGATATTGAAAAAGTTAGATCTGTAATGGTGATGTGACTGTAAAGGTGTCAGATGAAGAAATAAAACATCAAAGGCAGTAAGAAACAGATTCTTATTTAGATGTAATAGAAAGGGAAGATGGGATAACTTTAATAGACAGTAAGGTGTTTATTTTTCACTTCCCTCCTGCAGAGTGCAGGAAGGAAAAATGTCCCTGCAGGATAAATGAAGTCGGAGATGTTCGTATGAAAATGCAAAGTGTGTGACTCCTGGCAGAGATTGAGAGAGGCTGATTTCAGCCTCTGGTAGAGTTTCAGGTGCTGCTAGCTCGCCTCATTAGAGAATATTATCCAGCATGCCTCACACCAATCGTCCAAGCCCCCACCCTCCGCTGACTGCTAGAGGGGACGTTGACCCTGGAAATCGGAGAGGAGAAAGACTGTAAGGGGGAAAGGAGGAAGACATTAAAAGAGGCAGCATCAAACAATCCGAGGTTCTTGTTTTTTATTATTTTAATTCTTGCTGCAGCGCACGATGTATTGACTTCAATGGAAGACCTCCAGGAAATAGATTGGTTATAATCATTTCATCTGCGTCTATACCTTCAATACATACTGGGATGACATACACTTCCAACCTTCATATGCAGGAATAACATTACAAGCATGGCAACTACAGGCTACTTCTTACCTGATTCCTCTCACTCACGCTCTCTCTCACCTGTTATAGACCATGGGAGAGGTTATGAACAGATTAATAGTTACATCACTGTGTGCCTGGCAAGTGTTTCCTCTGTTATCGTCTCTCTTTTTGGCCTCTGTTTTTCTGTCGTCATTTTCTTCCTTTCCTCAGTCTAACTTCTTTATGGCACCCTCTCTGGCTCCTGAGACGTATTCTGAATCATCTCTAATGTGCATATTTCTGGATCTATTTTAATAAGTGACACTCCAATCATCCATTTTCCCCTTTTAGTGCAGATTTAGAGGAAATCACTTCCAACAAAATGTAATGTGTATATCAATGTAATGGTGTGTAATGCTGAATAGTAAATATTATTTCTCCTTTACTGGATTTATTGTGATTGAACATCAAATATTCGGAATTAAGTTGGATCTGACTCAATGTTTGCTGAGGTATTCTCTTCTGGAGGGAAATGTCACAATGCGCCTCAAGTGAATATTTTATCACATGTAACTAATTAACTAACTAATTATAAAACAGACTGAAAGCACTACAAATGTGTTTTTATGATCTACAAAAGTAAACAAGACCATCAGTGACGAGGTGGATCATTTCTGTGTCGTTCTTTATAATGCCTGAAACACGTGTCAGATATAGTCTGAGGAAACAGACTTTCTTTAATTTTCCATTACAGTATTTGATACATTTGACTTAAGTGCAACAGGAGGAGATTGTCGTTTAAAAACACTTCTCATACATGTGCAGGACAACATCAGCAAAGAAAGAAAATGTACCACTTTGTCCACCGGGGAGAAAATGGAAAATAACCAAAAGTTCCTCAGAGGAGCTTTAGAGCTTTAATTTACACAGATAAATTCAGTCTGTTGATGGAAAATTTACACCAGTAAAGTCAACTCGCCTACAGCTATGACATGTATTTCATCATTATTTCGATTTCCATTCTGCAAAGTTTTACAGGATGGTCATTTTTTGCTGCATCCCTCTCATCTTCATCATCCAACTCTCGTTGGTTTAGAGTTCTTTAAAGTTCATTACAGCTCGAACTCTCTGGATCAAACTCTTTTTTGGCTCAAGATGCAAGGGGGGATGTTATTTTGTCTGAGGGGTTAATAGGATGTTGCAACATGTCATGTGTTAAATTATACTCTGGAAAAAAGCTATTCTTTTTGTTGGTATCTGCTGAGCTACTGCAACGACAAAAGTGATAATATTGCGAACAAGTCCGAAAACTACAAGGTTCAGATAGGTTTGTATTGATACAAAAAGTATTTTTAAACTGAGCAAGTACAATGTATATAAACGTATCTTCAATACATAGACGTCTTGTTTCGTATCTTATAATGGGAAGTGGCTAAATGCTAACATTAGCCGTTTTCTGACGGTGGCTAGCAGGTAATCGATCATGTTATTAACTTGAAATGTGGTCGATCTCTCTCTAGATTTTCAGATTCCGTTGTCCTTGTTGTTTTTTTCACTCGGGAAGCAGTTAAATATATATATATTGTTTTCGGACACTCTGTTTATACGACTTAAAACCTTGAATATATCAGAACAACATAACATTAGCTTAAGCTGAGCAGGAGGTCATTGGAACAAAGTGACTGAAGGAATATGGTCTCTTCAGTGATTATTAAAAGAAAGAAGAAATACTGAAACATCTAACTGCTGATGATTAGAATGGCAGAAAGGGGAAGATAAAGCACATGTACACTTAAATAGATATAACTGCAATATGTGTAGATTGAATTTAATATTTTTAATTAGGGTAGTTAATGGCAGTGTGGTATTGTATTGCCAAGTACAACCTTGGTTCTAAGCATTAAGAGACATTAATCCAAACTAAACATGAATATCTTTGTAATGGAAGGATTTATAGTTGAACTGTCTCATCATCTTAATGTGACTTGTTTGTTTATGCATTTCATGATTCTAGTTTCATCAACTGTGTCTGCAGTCAGAAATATCTCCTTGTGTTAAACAGTCCTCCGGCTTGTCAGATTGATTTTGTAACATGTCTACTATATAACAGTGTGTGTATAATCTCCATTGAGGTTTATGTTTTAGGGAGCAGTGTGTCTGTATGCACGTACACAGGTGTATGAACATCACACACCCTGCGGCATAATTGTCAACTCCAAATCCTCTGCAGGTGACGTTGAGGCAAACACTGGAGGGCATCGTCATTTCCATTTCAAAAAGCTTCTTCCTGAAATACATGTGCACATAAAAGCATGTGTGTATATGGATGCTAGTTCTGCAGTCTAAATCAGTGTTATAAATAAAGCCTCTCTGTAGTGTGGAATCCAGCTGTGTACATTATCTATAAGGTCATGATTCAAACAGCATGAGTGACAGAGAGAGTGGCTCACTAAAAACATCTTCAAATATGCATGTTGTTTACGTTTTATTAAGTTTTTTATGTTTTATTCATGAGTGACTGTGTTTTGTATTTTGTGTAGACTACTTGTGTGTCACTGGTGATGACAGAGAAATCACACAGTAAATAAGTAAACAGGGTGAAATGTTCCTAAAAGACTAAGTGAAGTAATACCAGACCATATAGTTTTACTGTTGAAAATGGAGGTGTGACTTTTTTCCATAGGAAGAATGCGTTGTGATCTCATTAATCTTAATCTCCTGCTTTCTCCAGATTTTGATCCTAACCTTGGTATGATGCCTGGAATTACCCCCCTGAACCCCCTGATGCCCGGCCTCGGTATGGGGCCAGCTCCCCTCTCTCAGGATTTCCCACTTTTGAAGGAGATCATCCACTGCAAGACCTGCACACTGTTCCCCGCCAACCCCAGTGAGTTATAACATCATGCTAATCCTGCAATCATCTCTATAAACATATATCTGTATCTGAATCCACAATATGCAGGTGAGGGACAGTTCTGTCAGAAGCTTTCTGGTTTCTGATTATAGTCCAAGCACCAATGACCAATCAGATGTGAACAGGACTTGGTGTTATGCAGGCATGACTTGGGTGTGGGGAACAACAAAGGTGAAACATATGTCTGCTTTCAAACTTCATTAATCTCTTATGACAGATATGTTATTATTGAAAGCCTTTTCTCTGTTTATGAAACTGTTCATATGTGACCATCAAAAGCTAAGAAGAACATAATCAAAAAGACTAACTATTTTCTTATATAACTGGTTTTAAGGCCTGAAACCGTTACTGCAGGGAAGGTGTCAGACAAAGTGAGTTACAGCATGCCACACAAACAACCTCCGTTTTATTTGTTTTGGCAAAGATCCACAGTGACGGACACTTTTGGAAATCAACACAAACCAAAAGTTTCTCATAAGAGCTTATATATTTATGTGGATAACAGCCATCTTTTTCTTTCTTTTTTTAAGATTTGTTTTTCTGCTTTTTATGCCTTTATTGTTGAAAGGCGCTCAGCCGCCAGCGTCCCATTTACAACGCTCTTGTAGGGTTTTCTTTGTTTTTTTTATCATTGCCAACTCTCTCAGGTCTCAAGTTGCTCATTAGACTTTGAATTATGACTGGGGTATAGAGAAGGATGTCATGGCTCAAATATCAGTCATTAGATATCCAGCTGTGCTGGTCAGTATTTGACCTTTGCCCCCAGAGGAAAAATCTTTATCACAGAATCTGATATATTGCTCAAATTACTGACACACAAGATAACCTATTAACTTTCATTGAAGACTAAAAGTGATTGTCTGGTGTGGGCATTGCAGATATTATTTTATACCCTTTATTTCTTTCTTCATGTGTTGTCAACCCTTAGAAGCATCATATCTACTCTTCAGAGATCAAAGTTCTTATTCTTCACATATTGCAATATAGGACCTGTCAATCAAAAAATGCCTGATCCAAGGGTTTATCATGTACCGGTATATGTTTCCTCTTTTATTCTTTCTCCCCGTCTCTTCCTGCCCAACCGTTTACCTGTTCTTCATTCACCACGCGCATATCAAAGTGTTAATATTCACAGAGAGTCACATTGTATCATCTGACTGTAGGTGTGTTCCACACGCTGCTTATATTTATCTCACCTCCAACATCCAATTATCCAGAGTGAGACGAGAGTTAGTGGGGGGGCGCTTTGATTGATCTCACCTCCATATTTTCAGATTTCACACTGCAGAAAAGTTTCTGCCTAGGGACTTTCTTCTCACAAGTCTCACATGTCATCTTCAAGCTGGAATAAAACAAACGCTTCTCACCGCAGCAGCACTCAGGAGTTTAGGATCCGTTTTGAAAAAAAAAAACACACTTTTTGCATTCTGTTAGACAAATATGATTATTTTACCACACCTAAAAAACTGTGCAGAAGTGTTTCCTCTAGAGCTGTGCTGTTGCCCTGTGGCTCCTTATAAACCATCACTGTCACAATATGGTGCAGAGGGAAAAGCTGATTAAAAGTTTAACTCCACCTAGAAAGTCTCTCTAACCCAGCGTCAGTTGAGCAAAATGAACTCAGTACTCTGCGCACATATAAACCCTGAGGCTGTGTGAGGGATCAGCTTGTCAAGATTTTACCCTCCAACTTTAGAGCCTGTCACAATCACTCTGTGGCACAACTGATTTTCTGTCTTCTGTGGCTCAGTGAAGCATACGTGGATTGGAAAATGTACCTCGACGTATAATACCCTCTCTAAGATTATGCAACAGAATCTGAAGTTGTTTCGATCCACAGTGACACACGTAAACATTTTTGTGCTTACTCTATCATGTTAGTACTTCTCACTCTTTTCCCATCTCTATCCCAGTTACCCTTCCCTCTCTTTTGTTGATCCCAATCTCTTCCTGACATCTTTCTGGCTCTTAACTTTGTTTCAGTGTCACCAGAAAAGTAAATCTCTAAGCCAGGTGTTCTGAAAAGGCAGACATCTGAGGAAAAAAGCTGTGGCTTGATTTTTTTCTCATGAAAGTCAAGCAACTCAAGTTTCAGCTCTATGTCTCATACTAAAGCCACTAAAGCATGAGAGTTGTTTTGTCAGAGCGAGCAGCTTCTGAGGGAGTCTCTGAAGATACATTTGGGCAAGGGACTAAAATGAACTGAAGGACTATTGGTGTGACAGAGTACTGTTACGTGTGTTTGTGATTTACATAAACAGTATATAAAGGTAAAGCAGAGTTTTGAGCCGACCTAAAGTAACCTTCAGATTGCATCTTTTCTTGTGCTGTACTGTGAACCTCTTTGGTCCACGACCACCAATGCCTGTTCTGCAAATAAAAATGATCTTCTACCCAAATGAAGTAAGTGGAGCTTTGAGGTCCAGAAAGGACATTTCACCTTCACCCCTCAGTCTACCCAAACAACTGAGATTGTGGTTACAAGAAGCCACATTTCCTCAGGGTCAGAGTGAGGATTTTGGACTTCCATGAGCAGTGTTGCAGAAGACCTACTGCCTTTGCGTTTGCATTGAAGGGAGCCGGGATCAAGCATCACTACAGGATGCCTCCTAGACACCATTAAGTGGAAGAATTCAAGGCACATAGGGCTTGAAAGAGACACTCAGAAATGTGTGGGGATTATATATTCCTGTAATTTCAAAAAATACCTCAGGATCCCCCCAAATAACTGCAGGACCTGATTGGAGAGAGGGACGTCTGGAATATATTCAGCAACCACTGCACTCAGTGTAACCTGGAGCTGCAGAAAGCAAAGCACTGATGGATGGATGGATGGATATAATACTTCTCATTCGGGCATTTTACAACCATTGGAACAAAGCCTGTCACTCCTTCATGGAGGGATATGCTCATGTGTGCCACATCAAAGGTGAAACTTCTTTTGAAATTTCAAGAAGTGAGAGCATTAGCGGTTATCCCATGGTTACAGAGCTGAAAAAAGTCTTCCAGGCCTGTCGTGTCAGAAATGTGAAAATGTGGTTGTGAAGTCATAAAGTATCTTTCAGAATGGTTTTAGCATCTGTCTTCCTCAAGCTGTGTTACCTCTCTGGAGTATAGAGCTGAGGAGGGGAGGAGAGGAAACATGAATGATTGAGGACAATTATTATTTCATAGGATTTCAAAATTAAATGTGATGCAAAAAATTATGTTAGAGATGGACTGTAAAGTGTATATAATATGTTATAAAATATCTGCCTTGTGGTTAAAGATTCCACAAAAATATTATTTGTTATATTGGTAAACATGCAGGTTGTGACTTTATTTAACAGATTTTTCTGTTTTTCTTCTTCTAAAAATGCCTGAAAACAAACGATTCACCAAACGTTCATCTTATTTAGGCCCTTAACAGTCACAAAGGCTCAAGAAGTATGATGTGGAAAGGATGTTGAGGATTTTATGTGTTCATATTTTTATTATTATCATTACAAATTACTGTGTGATATGTGGAACCGCCCTATAGCTCTGAATCCGAGATACTTTAGGCGTGCAGATGGTTTCAACAGTGATACAGAATGCAAGGAACAAATATTGATGCTCGCTGCATACAGGCTTTTAGCAAATATCACAGGCAAAGCGTTTGGAGCATCGGGGCATCATGGCTACATGCAGTATGTTGTCCATCAAATCAGGCTTTAACCTCAAGCTGCATAGACTGAACCTGATACCACAAGCAACATCCACTCATTGATCTGTAACTGAGCAGAAACAACCCTGCAGCTCTCCTCAGCTCTGACGCTCTCTCCCCTTTATAATCTCTGTCTGCATAACCTTTATCGTCAATGTGCATCCCTGTAAAGCTCTATTTATGTCGCTTTTTTGTTGCTTTTTTTTACATCCACTTCTGGATCACGTATGTGTACTTACTCACATTTTTACAATCATGGTTAAAAGGATTCCAAGATTAGTGCCTTTCTTTAGTTTGTTACCCTTCTACTAATCCAGATTTTAGTTGTGTTTTGGGAGGCCCTCAGATGTTTGTTGACATAGTCTTCAGTTAGTTGGTCCATTTTAATTGGAATGGTCTCTTTAAAGTAGCTAATTAAATCGGTTCATCAGCCAGCCAAGCACTAATAATACAGGAAAATTAGACTTGCAGTTGGATGATGGAGCACTACTATATCATAATGTGCTAAACATGGTGTTTGTTTCTCCATGTGATGAATCTAGTTTGTTCATGTATGACATGAATAAACTAAACATACTTGAGTGTGTGTAAATGTAGTTCATCTTTTTAATAACAATCCTTAGAAAGCCAAAGACTCCACCCTGTGTTATCCCTCAGACTATAAAAAGGTGTTTAGCCAGTCAGGGTGATGGATGGTGTTGACCTGTGTTAGTGTAGCTGAGCAACAGGGCTCATGCAGGCAGCTCGCCCATGGGAACGAGCCGGACTAAAAATTTAACATGTGTTTCTGGCATGTGTGTTTCTGGCATGTGTGTTTCTTTCAGAGTAAAAGCTTGTGAAACAAGCAATTTGACAGCCAATGGTTCATAATAAGTAAAATTACTATCTGCTTATTCTCAAAGTTTTGAAATAGGTAGAAAATCTACCTATTTCAACACAAGCAGATTTATTTTAGCCAATTTGCTGTGGTAGTTAGGTTCTTTTTTCTTTTTTCCAATTACATGATTTTCTTTAGATAATTACAAATGTGTTTTCCTTGTACTGTGTGACTTTTTGCATTACCTCTCAATATATATTGTTTTGATATCTTGAACCTGCATCCACCCTCTCCCCTCTCTCCACTTAGTTCACCTGTCTGCATTTCAAAATGACCAACCTTAAGTCATCTGTCTACATATCACACACACACACACTCACCAAACTCCAATTGGGTCGAAAAACTCTGTGTAGCTGCAGCACCAACATGTCACATGGAAAGCTGCTCCTGCTGTCCTCTCTGCTTCTGGTTTACCTGCTCTGATTTGTATGAGCAATGCAATCACCTCTAGACTGTTCACTTATTCATAGAGCTTGTACATCTCTTGTACATCTTGTATTTATCGTTGTCGAGTCAGGAATAAAGGGTAGTTGGATCTTGGTTCATGTGCACAGTGATTTTGTGTAAAATATTTTAATGTAGTAGCATAGCAGGTAACTGAGAAGACAAAACCCCTCCTGCAACAAAACAAATGACCAAGCTGTTGCAAAGATTAACAAAACTTTCTGCCACAATGCTTAAAATTGTTTGTATAATTTTGTGTTTGTGCAGCGCTGCACCTGTGCTCCTTTCTCTGTCCTCACTGCTCTCCCCACTCTCACCAGCATCACCCACTCATGGACCCAAAAGGTCAGATCATTTGGGACTCTTTGTCGCATCTGCCAACAAAGCTTCTTCTTGCTGTTGCAGGCTATTTCTGAACTCACCTTTTCTTTCTGACTGGCCATCTCAACTCAAAATGTGTTTAATCCGCCCCAGCTCTGGAGGTCAAAGAATGAAACGGCAGTCAATATTTTGCTTTCGCAGGCACATTTAAAGGGAGAGAGGAGGCAGAGGGGAGTTACACGATGTTAGCATCTTTGTGAGAAAGTTTGAAAAAGGGACACGGCTGGCTTGGACTTTGAAAAGTTTCGTTGTAAGGTGTTAGAGGACAGCATGGGAGTGCAAGGTTCTCTGACAACAGAGGGGCCTATCAGCTGATAAGCTACTTTTTTTTTTTTTAGCCGGAAGAAAACTTTGAGTTTAGGTTGTTTTGTCTACACGCCTTGACATCCATTTAGTAGTTTGTAAAACATTCATTTGATCAGTTAATTTATCACAATACCACTTTTAAAAGTTAGCCCTTATTAAAGCTGGTACAAAACGTGAAGCAGTGATACCTCATCATTTGTTTGTAAGAGTAGCCGAGCTCCTTAAACAGATCTATAGATAGAGACCAGTTACTTAAAAAAAAAAAAAAATCCTCAAGCTGTTTGTTTGTATAATAACGTTTTCTTTCTTTCTCTGCACAAAAAGTTACCACAGACCTGATCAAAGTGAAGATAGTCTGGAATATGGAGCAGAAGTGATCCTGTTATTATTCTTCAATGCTTAAAATTAGGAGTTTAGATTTGATATGGATGATTGTACCAGATTGTAAGAACATTATATTTGTTTGAGATGATTGACGTCTGAAAAAGAAAGACGGGTGCTGAAAATCTCCATCTAGAAGTAAGGCACTGTCACATCTTGACTCATGTTAGTTTAAAAGTTCTACAGGAACACACTTTTCTGTGGATTACTAATGATTTTACAGAAGTCGTTTTTTCACCACCCTGTTGGTGATGTTTACCTGGCTGGGCGCACTGGCCTTCTGTACGTTCTGGTGATCCAAGAGCCGCAGCTCATGATGCGTCATTGTTAACTTTATCTTGTCATTATTAGAAACACTATGGGAGGGGGAGGAGGGAATGTGGTGCGCTGAGGGACAGCTGTGTTTTGGTTTAAGAGAGCGATGCTAAAGTGAGACATCTACTGAACGTCTACTCTGAAAGTCGCATATTAAACCTTTAAGCAACGAGATGAGGAGAGTGTTAATAATGGCAGCTTCAATCTTTTTACAATCTGTACTTAATGTAGATAATGTAATTCATGTGTCTGTTTTAGAAATAATTTAACTTCCTAATAAAACTTCCTCAATAAGTTCTTGCATAAAATACGACGGAATACAGGAAACGAAAAGATCTCACACTCAAACTTTCCTGGAGGAGATTTGTCTGTCAATGATTGCAGGGCTTTTCTAACAGACATCCGGACATACAGCATCCTCAGCACTCCACTGATGAGCTGTTCACTCCTCATAGATCCGGCTAATCACATTCATAATGGATGAGAAGTGCAATCTTTTGGAGATGAGATCAGTCAACACTCGTGTGTTGAAGACGTGATTTCTGCAGAGCAGGAGAGCTTCCACATGAGAGGATTTACTCAGAGGATTTCATTTTCAAACATGAAACAGTTTGATATGAACATAAATCTAACAAAAAACTATCTGAGAATATTTTTTATGATTCATGCATCAGGCTTCATCATTTTTTAGGTTCCTGAACGGGCCATGTTTTAAAATATGACTAAATGAATGAAACATCAAGGTTCAGAAAGTGTTCTGATTTTCTTCTTCTTAAGCCTTTATGATTCTCAGCATGATTGTTGAGTTTGACCTCAGATCCTTCTTGAGATGTATTTGTCACATATGCCCTCTGGATATGATGTGTTTGTTTTGTTTATCTCTAATACTACGTGGGGATAGTATGCTTTATCATGATGGTCATATTCATCCTCCCTACTTTTCTATGAAGTCTTTCCTATAATGTTCTGATAGATGGACATATTAAGATTAGGTCAGTTTCTGATTGAGTCATTTTTCTCTCCATTTCTAACTTCGACGTGCTTAGTGCAATAATCCAGCTAGTATGTAGCATAAACAACCAGACTTCTATTATTCATACAACCTGTTGAAATCATTGCTTCTCAAATATTGGTATTTGTGAAAACCAATGAATAAAACTAGCTGCATCTCTTATATCAGAAAGCATTATATAGTTCTCCCTTTGTTGTTACTGACGATACATAAAAGCAAACATTGTTTTGATCAGATAAAGGACAGGCGATCCGCCCTGTTCCTCACGTCTGCCAAAGTTATTGCAATTTTAATTTAAATGAAAATGTTATAACCTTTTGAAGATATTGCTTTCTTCTCAAAGAGCTCAATAAATACTTATAAATGAGTTTCAGCGTACACCGACAGATGAATCATTCCTAGAATTATTTTTAATTCAGCTCTATTACATCAAAATAAACACATGCATAAAGTTCAATATTTCAAGCTACTTCTTTGTTGCCTTTCTCATTTTGTCTCATGACCGTTTGGTTATATTCTCTTTTTTGTCTCGCTTCTTTTAAACAGACCTTCCCCAACCCGCCACCAGAGATCGCCCTCCAGGGTGTAAGACGGTGTTTGTCGGCGGTCTGCCAGAAAACGCCACAGAGCAGCTCATTGTGGAGATCTTTGGACAGTGTGGAGAAATCACAGCCATACGAAAAAGCAAGAAAAACTTCTGCCATATCAGATTTGCTGAAGAGTTCACTGTGGACAAGGCTCTCTTTCTATCAGGTAAGTAGTCATTTCTCCAAATACTCCATTATTCTCTTATTGTGTGAAAGAATCACAGCTCTCCCATAAAAGAGCAAATTCATCAATACATCTGCTTCCTTGATTAAAGTTTAAGATACAAATTTGTGGACATAAAAAATAAATATCCAACGAGAGCTAAAAATGTGAGAAATGGGAATCTCCAGAATTAATAATATTTCATGTATATTACAGAAGCTTTAAACCTTTTGTGATTGGCTGAGTCTTGTGCTAAAATAAATGAGATTGGCATTTTTAAACTACAGATGACGTTCCCAAAGGAAAAAAAGACGTTTCTTTTAACCATATAAAGTCAGTTATCTGACTATCGGCATCGGCTAATTTTATCACAGATCTGTGCTGATATAACGAGATTTATTCACCAGTGAAATAGCATTTAATTTAATTTTCATTATATTAAACTAGCAGTTCTCTGTCACCAGCAGAGTGCGCTATATGGATTACAACAAGAGTGTCAATAGGTGAGGCTCATACATGAGCATCTTATCTTTATTATATATTTTCCACCAGTGTGTGATAACTTCATTTTTGGGGCAACGCAATAAATGTATATATCTACCTCTATTTATCTCTACAGATTGAACATAGAGCAAAGAAAGATATCGGCCAATATATCGGTATCAGATTGTTTTTCTCTACCAAATATCGATATATCGGATCGGCCTCAAAAATCTCATATCGGTCAGGGCCTTGTATAAAGTTTGAGACTGTTCTAACATCAACGATATTTACTAAAGCAAACAGGGGAAACTGTAAATGCAGCATACACCTGATAAAAAGTTGAATTACATTCTACATAGTCTAAATCAAATCAGTTGAAACGTGTGCACTGCTGTATTACTGGAGGTAACAATGCAGCCTCTACAACAACAGTTGTAAAGCCCCTGCAGCTACTGCGAGATCTGAGAGTAAAAACACTCTGAACAGTCATCACCAAAAGCCAATGTTTCAGTCATTTTCAAAACAATTTAAATTCAATTTCTTTGGAAACCGGGGGTGACTTCATCATCACATGAGCCCTCTTTTGACATAACCATTATCAAACATACCCAAAAGCCTTTGCCAAACCACTCAATTGGTCAAACTTTTGGAGAAGACAGTCTGAACTGTTGCAGTGGTTGATACTGATGAGCTCCATCATCACGGACTATTTACTCTGACAACTGAACATAAAAATTTACCAATCCTATGAAATCATCTTATTTTCACAGCAGCTTGTAGTGCCCAGGCCTCTCATATAACTCCCATATATTCCTATTTAGAACAACCATTTAACTCAGCACACATTTCAGACAGCTCCCTATGATACTCACTCCCAAGTACTTGGGGATCTCCTTATATGAAAATATTGAACATATACAGTAACTATATATTTAGAGCTTAAAGCAGAGAGAGCAAACGGAAGTAGAACCCCACAAACCTGTGCAAATATCTTTTCCTGTTTTCACTGAGAAACTAGAGAACGTTCTATCTTCTTTGTCTCCCATTGAACCACATTGGGCATCATTATCATGAACCGCCTAGAGCACACACTCAACATGTGTACCCAAAACACTTGAACCGAACACACTGTGTTATCATTTCAAACCAATTAAATAATAAAAAGGGTCTGATTTCACTTCAAACCCATAACCAGTCATTAGTGAAAATTGAGTAAAGAGGAGAGCGTGAGGATGAGAGGGAACAGAGAAGAGGGGGTAATGAGGGATATATTGTGGTCTGTTAGCACCACTAGAGAAGTAATTGGCCTCTGTAAGTCTCTCTAGTGTACTGATGAAATGATGCAGGCCTTCTGGACTCTACAAAGCTCCACAACCACTGCACAGCCTCTCAAATGTAGGTCTCCAACATGTACAATAGGCAAAGACAGGGATAAAGACAGACGTGGCAAACAGTTGGTGCCCCCCAAAGAACGCCTGTTCAGTGGTTTCTTTCCTTGTTTGTTAGCTATGGTTTTGAGCTAAAGGCTAACATCAGTATGACTGTATCTTTGTAGTGATGATACAAAGCTGTAGATTTTAAGTTTGCTAGCATTTGCTAATTAGCACTAAAGACAAAGAGCAGCTAAAGCTGATAGGAATGTCTCACATTTAGATTTTGAATACGTTTAAATGCCTTTTGTTTTAAGGAGGACATTACTTTGTGCATCAATTGTCATGGAAACCCAACCAGTAGATAAAATGACATTTAACTAAAAATCATCATTGATGAAAGAAGTGAATGACAGTAAAGGCTCTAACATTCTTGCTATTGAATCACGCCTACACAGAGACAACCGGCTGTGCTGTGAACGTAAATGTTCACATACTTGTCGTTGCACAGCGTATGTTACTGGAAGATTCCTCTAGACGGAGCGCCACATAAGTCAAAACATGTAAAACAGCACATTAGAGATTCCAGATTTGCGTGGTATAATGTAAACAAATATGGCAAAACTCAGAGAGGTTTATCAACAGTTACTCCATTGTTGTAGCAGCTCTCTGGTGTCTCTGATGTTGCTGGTTTCGACCTTAGTGCCAAAAATGTAATAATAATTCAGTAAAGAAAAGTCATCAAATAAGGTAAAAGAGATTTACAGCCTGCAGAATATGCAGCATACTGTAAATATAATTTTAAACTGAGCAGACTTTACTTATTTTTTTGTTTTTTTATACCCAAAGGTTATCGTATCCGCTTGGGCTCCAGCACAGACAAAAAGGATTCGGGTCGTCTCCACGTGGACTTCGCCCAGGCCAGAGACGACCTCTATGAGTGGGAGTGTCGACAGCGCATGTTTGCCAGAGAGGAGAGGCACCGACGAAAGATGGAGGAGGATCGACTCAGACCGCCGTCCCCTCCTCCCATCGTCCACTACTCGGAGCACGAGTGCAGCCAGCTGGGAGACAAGATCAAAGGTAAGAAGACCAGGAGTTATATAATACTTACAAAATAAAATATGAAGATGATGACAGCATAAATAGAAGAACATTGGCTTATGTGAAAAGGAAAGTAACTTCTTTAATCATCTAGGACATTTACAAAATCTCAGAGGTACAAAGAAAACATTTGTGAAGTTGGAGCTATTAATGCAAACTGCAAACAGACAGAGTAGGGAAAAGGTAAAAGTGTAGTTCTGTTTGTGTGTTTTCTGTTTTTGTGATGGCCGGGGAGAAACAGGACACAATCAAAGCATTATGGGAATGGTCTGAAACTGCAGCTGGGAAAAATTAAAAAGCAGTTTTTCTGATGTTCTAAAAAATTCAGAGATTTGTTTTCAAGGGTCGTTACACAAACACTGTTAAAGGACGTGTATCAGTTTACTCATCCCGAGGCATATGCTCCCTCTCCTCTTTTCTTCTCCACTCTCCCTCTCTCCACTCTCTTTTTTTCATTTCTCTTCAACCTTTACATTTGCTCTCCTCCGCTTTCTCAGTTTGTGGCTGAACAAACATGTTTCACTAATGAGCAATGACCCTTCCAGGTCTCAGTCACTGTTGCATGTTAACAAACTGGCGTGACTTTCTGCCACTCTACCATCTGCTCGAGTCAAGTCTCCCAGCTTTTCCTTTCTTGGCCCGAGTGTAAAGACCAAAGATCCTTTGCTGTTGCCAAGGATTTGTGTTTAATTACTTCGAGCTGCTGTTGTGAAAACACACATCCTGGCTATTTGCTGCTAATTTAGGCTTATTCATCCCTGAAGCTTCTGCCCAGAGGAAAATCGGAGGTTAAGCCCTTTTCTTAGTGAGAGTTATATTCTGTTACTGCACTGCGTCTTTGTCATGACAGAAGTTAAACATTTTCACCAGACCCTTTAAATGGTTTTCATCCCCTTCATCTCTCTATGTCTCTGAGGTTTCATTGTGGTCTGTGAAGTTTTCCATTTCTGAAAAAAAAGTGAGTTACCTTTAGTTTGAGTTAGCCTTCATACTGTTTTAAGTATCTTATATATCAGAAAGCTGCACCGGCTACAATTACCAGCCTTGTCTCTTATGGATTTTGATTTCTATTTTCATTTAGAGTAAGTTTTGACACCTTGCTTTCACCACTTAAAGTGTCCTGGGGCCGAACAAAATGAACTTATTTTTGTTTGTATGGAACCTGACTCTTCTTTTCTCTGTGCCCACAACCCTTGGCAGAGGACGGTAAGTTTCCTGAAGCTGTGCGTGTTCTCCTGACCTGGTTGGAACGAGGGGAAGTCAACCGCAGAACTCCAACAACTTCTATTCGATGATCCAGTCGTCCAACGGCCACATCCGCCGGCTGAGCAGCGAGAAGAGTCAGCACGAGAAGGAGATGGAGGAGGCCAAAGACAAATTCAAGACCGCTCTGTCCGGCATACTGGGTCAATGTGAGTCTTATGTTCTATATAACACGCTCTATCTACAGACAGTGATGTTTAATACACTTTGAACTGGATTCACTTTTTGACCTTTTGTATTCAGGAAACATTTAAATCCAGGATCCCTCAAACTGAGGGAAAAGTGGGTAACTTGTTTAAAGTTGTCTTCTAGAATATATTTCATGTGAATTGTAAAGGAAGGAAAACAACTATGTTTGGATAGGATTGAAGTCAGGTGTAAGTTTCAAAATCAAAGATTCAGACATACAACACAAACAAAGCCAGAGGTAGCAGAACAGCCAGGTATTCACAACTGAAGATAATATCTCAGTCAGGACTTTTTGTACCTGAAGAACTTGTCACTGAAAAAAAAGGTAAGTAAAACACATTACCCAAAGCATGTGAACATGTTATTTTAAAACACTCTGGATTTCACATGATGGATGGATGGAGTTAATTGATTAAAGGGTGATTTAGAAGCCATCATGTCTATGCTGGGCTTCGGTTTCGAAAGGAAGACTTAAAGCAACAATATGTAGAAATATAATATAATATGTAGGTTTGGTGCGCTTTGGTGCCCAGTGAAGGTCTCTGAGTGCAACTTGAGATAGGTTTGCAAGGTTCCAAACTTATAAAACTTGCTTGAAGATTGACAAGGAAAGAAACAACTTTTGGCGCAGTATGGATTCATGTATTATTAGATTACTTCTTGCACCTGCTAAAGATATCGATACAGCCTAACGTGACATCAAAATCTGTTATGAATAATATCTGCAGGGATGTACTCTCTGCAGTCAGTTGTTGCTTTTTGTCTGGCTTCTTGCTCAGCCACTCTCTCTTTCTCTCTACTTAGCTTCATCCGTCACTGTCCTCTTCCTCTGAGCCTCAGACATTACATCAACTTTTCAGAGACAGGAAAACTGGCTTCTTTTTCAGAACTGAAGGCTTGTGTGTGTGAGCAAGTGCAGTCAAGGTATTATATTCACTTATCTAGAGATGACCTCAGCCCGCTGCCAAAGTTACATACTGCAGTAAATAGGGGATATGGTGGAGACTGCATTCTCCCTGTTTAAAGTTATTGTGCTATTAATTCAATCTTTATACCTGCTGTTTTAAGTTGGAAAAGTTACATATTGTTGCTTTAAAGGTAAGTTTGTTTCCTCCTTCTGAACTTGTTTTTTTTTCCCTTTCCAAATATTAAAAAACTTTATGTAAAAAAAATGATCCAGACCCTGCAGGGGATTAATATTCATGTTGCCTTCAGGTGGAAATAGTAAGTAGGCCAACACATTCATAGCATGAATACACTGGACAGCAGACATATCCGGTCAATGCATGCTTTACGTCGATAAACATGCAGCTCCTGCCCACCTTTGACAGTGTTTCTGTGCAGCTGCTGGTTTACACCATCCCCTGAGGCACTTTGTCTCCACATATGTTGCCAGAGGCATGTTCAATAAAATATAAACATCCTTCATCACAAAGTGAAGATCTTAGTTTCTGTTTCTTTGATCGTCAAATGTGTAAATATAACATGGAGAAGACATACAATGTGTATGTGGGTGGTTGTGTCTCTATACACCAGAAAGAGAGAAAGTCAGACTGCTGTCTTTGTGTTTACCAGAACTTCAGCCAATGCAAACGCTTTTCTATTCATGACTGCTCTCCTCTTGTTGCATTGCTAAACTCATGTATGACACAACACAGTGACTGTCTTCCTGTGTGGAGGTTTAAAGTTTAGCTTGGGAACAACTCTCTGTTCTTTTAAAATGAAATCAGCCTGTCAACCCTTTAAGCTGCAGAACAAAGGTCTGTCTCTGATGGGATATGTCGCCTTAAAGGTCACTTCACTCATGTCACAAAAATGCATCTTGCCTATAGATAAATACATTGATAGATGGATAAATTGATAGATGGACGGACTGACTTGTATAGGAGCTCAAATGCCTGAAGGTCTGTCTGTGGTCTTTGCTCTCTGTTCTTACTTCTTCATCGATCTGCTCCGTCAAAATTAGAGGGTGCTGGGAAAGAGCAATCGATCGCTGCACTGTTCTGTCTCTCACCACTCTGCAAACACATACACACTTAGCTGGTGGTCATATTGACTCCCCCTGTGTTCAGTAGCACCTTTGGGATACACAGACCACCCAAACACTCCTCCATGACAGCCCACATGTCAACAGTTTAGAGATTAGAGGGAGAATTACTTTATCAATACACCGCATCTAAAATGAAATCTGACTCGGACTACAGTTGTCACCGTGCACATCAGATGTAGAAACAATGAACACCTGAGGTCTTAATTAAATCTCTTACAGAAGATTATTCCAGTGTTAGGTTTCTATACTGTTATTTTGCAGCTACAACGATTGTGGTTTGAATCTTACAGCGGTTCATTTTTAAGATAACAGATACATCTTCATTAGGAAAGCATATCAGAAACACTGCTCTATTTTTAACAAGGTGTCCTTGGGCAATTTTTTTCCTCTGCTGCTGCAGAACTGCACAGCGGTCAAAAGTGGCAAACTTCAAGTAGGTTATTTTTGGAAGCTGCCAGTTGCTTAGCAAAATCTCTTTATTACATCAATATTAAAGAAGACAAAAATGCAGCCATGCTGGAAGCTCTGTGAGCCTACACTGACTACATGAAGTAGACTTGAATGCTATTAATATGCAGATTTTTGGTCATACAAAAAGCAGTAAAGTTGTATTAATGGAATAGGTGTTATATATTTAAAGTCACAAGATTACGATTTACCTGAGAGTTTTTTAATGCAATCCATACACAAAAAGTTATCAAGACATTTCACTGATGCCACAGATGTCAACATTAAGAGGGCTAGAAAAAAGGTTTCATGCCAAATTTGCTATGAAGGAATAAAGGGACTTTATTCTTTATGAACCATGATGTGATTTATAATTTATTTATTTTGGAAAATGTGTGATTTGTTGAAATTTTGCACGTGAGAACTCTGACAGAACGTCCAAGAAATGATGCTCTGGCATCCACAGGTAAGTACATGTTTGCACACGCCTTTATAAACACACACACACACACACACACACACACACACACACACACACACACACACACACACACACACACACACACACACACACACACACAGAGTTCATAACATCCCTAGTTGACTGGACTTTCTTACTGCTCTGCTCCCTCCCACCTGCCCTCTGTCTTTCTCTCTCTCTGTCTCTGGATGGTCTCTGGTCCCTCCCTGCATCCCGCCACAGTTGAACAGATTGTGTCTGTATTCCAAGCTGCTTCCAAACAAAAGGCATGGGACCATTTCTCCAAAGCTCAGCGCAAGAACCTGGACATGTGGCGAAAACAAGTAGAGGTTAGTCCACTTTGATTTCATTCTGATGTCAACATGATTTCTGGAAATAATTAGAACAATTAGACTTGGTCCCACTTTTTTTCAGCACCTCTCCCTTTTTAACCGTTGTATAGTTCTTCATTTATGACTCATGGAGTGATTACCTAATGGTAAAACTATTAAACCAAATGAGGAAAGAATTGTGATATAACAAGTCAAGGCAAGAAGCAAAACAAAAGCAGACTCCTTGCTACAGTAAGTACTAAAAAAAAAAAAAAAGTCAGGCTGCAGAAAAGTGTCTTCTCTCTCTCTCTCTCTGATAAGAGATAAATAAACACAGGTCCAAACATTTCCTCCTCCCCTGCTTCCATCACTGCCTTCCCTTGTGAATTATATACAAGCTGCTGGGTGAGTTTTCCATTTATAAGGACACAGGTAAACATGTACAAGTTGTCTTCTCCTGCACCATCATTCTTTTTAGATTATTTTGTTTTGACAGAACGATGAAGAGGGAACATCTTGAGACAAAAACACTTAGCACTTAACTTATTAGCATTAATAATGGTGATGAAGGTTTGCTTGTAATGGAGGGCATGGAGAGAGATGCAGTCCTGGGTCTAATGGGCTGTATATGATCAGATCTGATTGGTAAGTGTTCTTTTCCCGCAAAATAGTAAAAACATTTACGGCCTAACTTAAAAGCTAAATCAGACACACGTACAGCACCAGCAGCAATCAACCTGTCCAAAACATCTTGTTAAAGGTAGGTGTTGTGAAGTAACAATTGATGCTTTAGTTTTCAGATCATCTGTAGAAACATGAAAATACTTCAATTCATCATCTGAATCTGTAACAGTCTTTTCAGCTGACGAACGTATCATGCTCATATTAGCTTGTGTTGAGGTCTTGAACACACACTTGAGAGTAAATAGTGAGTAGGATGATGCATGTTTATAAGCAATGCTTGAGTACATGCCGGGGTTGTGTGACGTCAGTGAAGACCACTTTTGTATTGTTGTCTTCCTTCCTCAGACCTTGAGGGTCTCTCAAGGATCTCCTCACTGGGGGAAAACACTCATCTATTTGCACACTGCTGCAGGAAGTTTTCAGATCCATAATGTGGACAGAGTGTTCTCATCAGGCCTCAGGGATCTGTCCATTCTTTCTCATGCTCTTCCTTTATAGACTGATGTGCACACACTGCATACACCGGGGGGAGTACAACATGAGCAAAGATGCAAGAGAGAAAAAAACACTGTGGGTGGACTCTGATCTGCAGAATCTGTCCTCATTCAAAACATGTTCAGAAAAACATACTTTAAATGAAACCCTAGTTCAAACATTTGTTTTTTTTTGTTGTTTCTCTACCAGCAACTTCACACTTCAATAGCTTTGAAAATAGATGTAATGGAATACAGAATGACACCATATACTCTGTTTAATATATTGACTGTAATAATAATGACTGTTTACATTAAATTCAAAGACAAACAGATGAAATCAATGGGACACTCCGCTTTGTTTGTATCTCTCTGCAGCTGTCTGTTATAATAAATACACTCAACCTTACAATGTAACCTTTATAAAACTGTATGTTTGAATTGTTTTTACTTGAGTATATTGTTGTTAAACATCTACCGTAACTAATGTTTTGTATTTTAACAGTGGATCTAATTATGACATGTGAATGTGTTTGTCCAGTGAAATAAAAAAAAAACACCTGGATCTGCAGATCAGTTAAGTGGATTAGTTTATAGCTTGTTGTTTTTGGTGTTGACGATTGAAACTTCTTTGGTTGTCTCTCTAACTTGCTCAGCATCACTTCTTTCAACAGCAGCAGGCCGCTGTTTTTACTCAAACTGCCCTGAAATCAAACTATCGGCTGTGACAGAAATTAGCTTATTGCTAATAACCGTCAAACTTAGCAATAAGATGTTGAACATTGTGACACAAAAACTGTCATTTTCCTTCTAATCACAGTAATGACGTTGAAAATAGCCTTTCAATCGTGGTTTTGACTCGTCTTGATTAAAAATCAAGAGTCCGCCCAGTCTGAGACCGACACAAGACCGAGTAAAAGTGCTTTAGATTCCGAGACAAGACCGAGACCTTCAAAAAGTGGTCTCGAGTATGATCTTAAGACCTAGACCGATTTTGAGTACTACAACACTTCACAGTGAGGCACTTAGTGGCTAAGGAATCAGGTTCAAGTCTCAAAAAATGTGGTTTTTTTTCTACCAGATTGTTTACAATACCCAATATAATGCACATTTCCACCTTTGTTGGACAATAAAGATGTATTATATAATATTATAATTGTATATTCCATTCTACAGAACAGCCCTGATACATTGTGTCTTAAACTGTCTGCAAAGAGATGTGTGAGTCATGTCTAAGGCAACGTGAGGCTTAAGTTAACAGAAAACTTTACTTGAATCACCATCAACTGCTGAGTAAATATTTTGGAGTCTTGGCTTACTAGATGCTCATATTTCATCACCAATGTCTTGTTTACTTTTGGCTGTCATTCATCGTTTGCCTGCTGAAGCACACTGAGCTTACCCGGCTGGAAGCTGCTGCCTTTGAGTTATAGTTGATGTTGTGTAATAAGACCTGTGAGGTTAAACCATACATTCAATGTGAAGGCTAAATGTGTCAAAACGATGCACAGGTGGGTGGTCATCTCAAAAACGTTCACCTGGCTTAGTGATTATTTTAGTGATTTGATTTAAAATTCAAAATGGGTCTTACAGCTTTATTTTTACACATTTATCTTAAAGGCCTGTAGGATACAGTAAAATCAGCCAATGGTCAGTGATTCAGAACATAGAATGAAAGTCAAATTGCTTGGGGGTTGTTTATCATCAAACAGGCAGCCACTCTCAGTCAGTGTAGTTTCAGTCTGATTCTTCAGCCTGGAGCTGAAATATGGAGGAACGAGCAGCGGTGTTGAGGAGCTGCAGCTCCCGGGAAGAATCAAATAACAGCTGCCTCCCTCCATCACTGTTTTTATGTGTTGTGTGTGTGTTTGTGTGTGTGCTGCGTATGCATGTGTTTACACTCGGCTCCAGACACACCAGATGGTTGTGTGAGTGTATTGTGTTGTGTAGAGTACCTGTTTGACCTCTGCTGTGGGCTCAGGCTGATAAAGTCAGCTGACAGATGGTTTAAAGTTACTTACTGTTCAGCTGATTCTCCCTCTTTAGCTTTTCAGGAGTAATCCAGTAGTTCTAAATCTTTCATTAATGGCACACCTGTGTGTTTAATCTCTCCATCTTTTAAACTTGTGTTTTAAACTGTATATAATATAGTTAATTACATATGGGTAATATGGGTTGTAGGCTTTGTTTCAGCTGTTTAATGATGTGGCTGTAAATATAGATAAATGTCACTTAAGCACTCATTTATTTTGTTGACTATTTAAGAGGTGGTTTGGTATATATTGTTAGAAAGGGTGACATGTGGATGATTAGTGTTTCCTAAGACTGAAGATGACTTCCTTAACTGAACTATCGATTATCAAAGAAGGTGGTTCATCAAATATTTAACAATGAATCCAGCTATTGTTGCAGTTCTTGATTGGTTCTTACTGAATGTTCGTAGTTGAGCTGTACTAATGGTTTTTTTTTTTTTTTTATCATTGATAAGGGTTTAATACATGAAGGGATGAAATGTATTTCTCTCACTTTTCTTTGATTTACTTTCAACTCATATTTTCCTGCATATCTGACCCTGACCTGAAGCTCAATTCTCTACTTACAATACTGGGCCTTTTCTTCTGGACCTTCAAACACCTTGAGTAAAAAGTCTCTTTACAGTATAAAAAGCTGGACTCTCTGTTACCCTGCTCCATTAATGTTAAACCTCTTTCTTTTTCATGGAAACACTGTTTACAGCTGTAGTCCATACATCTTCTCACAGGGAAGGAAGGAGAGCTGAACATATTTCTGAGAGACTTGTGCACACAATATTTCTAATCTCAGTGAGATAGTGTTTTCATGAATGGTCAAATCATGGATGTCTAATATGTGAAATGTAGACTATGTAGAACAAAGATCATGTTTTCTTTTTTCTTTTTTTTTTGACACATTTCTGGACCCTTTGGTCTTACATAGAGCCATTTTGATTTGTTGGGTTGACCTTAATCTGTAAACCTTTTTGAGACCTGTTTCTGGTTACTCGTCTCCAGTTATTAGAGGTCCTTTCTGTGAGGCTGAAATGAAGCAGAGACAGTCTGTGTATTACAGTTACTACTACTGTGTGTTTTATGGGTAAAAAGTACCGGTAAGTACTTTGTCAGCCTACATCAGTGACTTCTGAAGTTTCAGTGACGGGAGCTGTGGTTGTCAGTGTCATCACTTCCTGCATGAGTGAGCTGTTTTCTTTATTTAACATCTGTGCTGTAAATGCAAAAAAGAGTGTAGTCCAGCTGGATTTTGTTACCATCCGCCTTTTGAGTTGTTCAAGAGGAGGAATTATCCTTTATTACATCTTTATTCATCACACTCATTTATTCTGTTCTGAAGGGTTCCTTACAGCTAATCAAAGAGGTGCCTAGCAGATCTTCCTCCTGATAGCACCAACTAAAACATGCATCACATGAATCTTTGCACCTCTGAGCCTCCTCTTTCTCTTTCTCTTTCTCTTTCATTGCGTTTTTCAGGAGATCAGAAACATGCACAACGAGCAGCTGATGGGCATCAGGCGAGAGGAGGAGATGGAGATGTCGGACGACGACATGGAGGACATGGCTGACAGCAAAGACTCAATGGACTCAGGTATTCATATACATGCATGTATTCACAGATCAGCACTTCTGTCAACATGACAGGACATTGATTGATCAGAGGCCCCAGAGAAAGCTGAAGTGACAGTAATCTTCCTCTAAGGATCTGACAACCACCCGACAACTCCACATGAATAAGAAACACATGCACAACACATCAACATGCTGACAACATACATGCTTCACTGAGTGAATAATGAACATACTGTAACTACTAAAAGACATCAAGCCCAGTCCCTACTGGATGTACACAATACTCTATAATTGTGTGTACGTGTGTGAGCGTGTGTGAATGTGTCCACATCTCCAAGCTGCCAAATCATTTGATATCTAAGCACCATAATCTCCTGTTTTTCCCCTTGAGGAGCATCTTTATGTTTGTCAAGCAACAAAAACTAACAGTGCTGATAATCTTTTCACCCCCACCGCAATAAAGCATGTATCGAGAGTGGTTGTCAGGACAACATGCTGTACCGTGACCACCACATGTCAGGTCATCCGATATTTTTCATGTTGTTTTGCTCTACCTGCTTTTTAATCGTTCTGATCTCTGCCTCTGCTGATATGACAGCTTCTCTCATCAGCATGCAGATGTATGTAAATGAAGTCAGCTCAGCCCCCTTCTCTTCGGCAACCTTGTTATTTAGCTATCAGTAATTAGCATTGCTGTCATTGATCTGTCATTCCTCTCCATGCTGCAACGTCGACCCAGGTGACGGGTGTTAATGTGATACTTCTTGGTATTTGTGTTAAAAGGCTAACTGTTACTCGATCTTTACTCACTAACTTGAAAACGTTAACTTTTCAGCTTGAAACCCAGTCCTTTACAACTGCAGCCTCTTAAAAAAGTAAATCAATGCTCTGCGTCTGACTCGTACAGAAAAGCAAAAGAATTGCCTGTGTGAATGGCTGTATGCCTGTGCGTGTGTGTGTGTGTGCATGCAGGCTCCAGGATGTCTGCAGGTCGATAGCTCTACCTGTGATGTAAGAGAGGGGGAATTACTCAGAATCTGACCAAGTGGTTGACATCTCCTCGCACCGAGCTGATGAGGCTCTCAGATCAATATTCCTCTCACTGCAAACCTTAATTTTGATGGTAGAGAAGTGCACACAAACACAGCATGGACGTGCGCACACACACACACACACACACACACACACACACCCAGCAACAGTTCATTAACACAACCAATGGTCCTCTGTGATAGACTGCAGGCAGCACTCGTGGACACCCACACTAAAACGAGCCAAATAAACACACACACACACACACACACACACACAGACCTGCACAGGATGGGGCTTATCTTTGCCGTCCAGTCAGTGTGTTGAACTTTCCCCAAAGAGCTTCCCCTCGAGGCCCACAGGAGGAGAACAGAGCTGATAACAGTGGATACGACTGCAGCTGAGCGGGTCTCATACAGTAATAACTCCCTCTGTCTCCTCTCTGTGCTCAATAGGTCAGCTCAGATGTCCAGAAGAAAGCTAATGGTTGAAACACTTTGAGATTATCACAGCTTTCTCTGTTAGTATGCTGAAGGTGCCAGATTATTGGCCCTTAAAGGCAGAATGTGCAACTTTTTCATCCAGTAGATGTCGCCCTTGAGCACCAGCATGAAACCAAAAACAACTTGCGGCGCATTGTTGTGTTAGCATGCTAATGCTAGCGATCTTTATTATGCTCGTATCTTCACACTGCATGTAAATTTACACGAAATGAGCGTGATCTAGAAACACAGTTAAGCAGTGAGAACAGTAAGTTATTCTTCTTTTCTCTAGTCCCTCAATTAAACAACTTTTATACGCAAGGGGATGAGCCGGCTGTCAGTCCTGGCGATGTAAACAAAGTGAAGATAGGACACGGAAAGCTCGGAAAACATCGCCGACATTGGGACTCGGGTGTCACACTCATTGTAGACAGTCATGACTCAGTTATTTTCAGAGGATATACTTGATTTCTATTACATTTCAGTGTGAAAAATCGCATATTCAGCCTTTAAAGGATGAATTTGTGACTTTTTGATCCAGTAGATGTCGCCCTTGAGCAACCAGCATGACACCAAAACAAACTGCTGTTTGTTGAAGCATCCGCTATTACTAAGCCTCAGTTCTCCTCCAGTGACCTCCAACCCCTCTCCACTTGAGTAGCATGAAGGAGTTATGAATTAGAACGCACCTTCATTAAGCACGAGCAGCGGACAAAATTGTCCTCGGCTCAAGCTGCAAGTGGCCTGTGGCCTGGATTATTGTGTTAGCAGGCTAATGTTCGCACACTTTGGTAAACTCATAGCGTCATAATGCACATGAATTGACACAGAATGACCGAGATCTAAAGACTCTTTCATGACATCAAATAAGCAGTGAGTAGGCTGTGTTATTCTTCTTTTCTCTAGTCCTTGACTAAAACAGCTTTTATACTGAAGGCCGTCCCGTCCATGTAAACATGATTTAAATACGGCCCAACAATAACACAGCCAGTGGGACTCGCACTTCTCACTCATTGTAGATAGTGACTCCGAGATACATTTTACAAAGGATATATTTATGTGTGAAATGTGGCACACTGCTTTAGCATCTTTGTACCTGACATCCTTCTGAAGTAGCACATTTTATTTTAAAGGCTTTAATGTTGTTATTGTTAGCTTCTTAAATAAAGCGATTGGGGTCCAACATTTCAAACAAAGTCTGACGACTGTGTGGTGTCTTTGCTGATGTTGCTGCTCTACCTAAAATTCTTCACCAAAGAGTGTTACAGGACTCTTTGTGATCCATCGACAGTTCTGTTGGTTTATCCAGTAATAACAAGTTTACAAAAATCGCAATAAATATTTTGTGTTGTTTGTTTTTCATTATTTTGACAAGGAAGTTGACTTTAAACGCTGCCATGAATTATTCTATGTACAGTAGAAGAAGACAGTCAGATTGTTGTGTCAAAGCATTTTAGAGAGCATAGTTTTCACACATATCGATCAGACTCTACCTGTCAGAACATGCTACACACACATTATTCTTCCAATTTTAATGTTCACCAACCTGAAATCTATTTCTATACTGTCCCTCACCTAATGGAAAATAAGCAATCCAATCAGGCTTTCCAATATCAGGGTGTAATAGATAATACATTTAAATGAGGCAAAATATGGAAGTTTGAAAAAGTATTCAAAAGCCAGACAGCAAGAGTGACACTCAGCCTGATAATGATATGCAGCAGTGCGATGTTATACATTATCGTCATCATAGTAAACACTGCTTTGTGCACTTAATGTTGAAACCTGCAGGAGTTTCTCAAGCTGAAGCCTTAAAGGAGGAGAACGACTCCCTTCGCTGTCAGCTGGACGCCTACAGGAACGAGGTGGAGCTGCTCAAACAGGAACAGGGCAAGAACCAACCAATGAGGAGTGAGGAGGACAGCACACACGCTCAGCAGCTCAGCTTCCTGCAGCAGGCTCTGCAGGGCATGCAGAAGGTAACACTTATTTTACAAAAACATAAGCAAAGAATCATACAGTCACTCTTTTCCTGTCCTGTATCCAGCAAGAAGTTTCATCTCCTATTCATTACCGTTCTGCTCCAGGTTCTTTTTATGAACAAGGTCGTTCAGGTTAACCCGTTGAATTTTCCTCTTAGACTGTCTTTTGTTCATGATTCAGTATTCTCAAAGAGACCAGTGAGGGAACAAGTACAAGAACAGGTGTCTGCAGCTGCTGTTAGTCTTTTTCTGAAGAGCTGCAAAAAATAATATTTTCAGGTTTTCTCTTTTCAAAAGAGTGTATTCTCTGTTTGAATAGATTTTCCTTGGCATTAGAGAGTTGTGGGCACTTAAGGCTTTAGCAAAGAAATATTATTTATTTATTTTGAAAATGTGTAGCACTCAGTAAATTTGCCTTAGTGTGTGGTTGTATATCATATTTAGTCTTTCTCTTCAAGTAAAACCCATCTGAAGCCCGTCATTCACTCTAAAGTCAGGGTAGAATGTCAGCTAACTCTGTACGACTGAATCGTTTACAATGCACAACCACAGCTCCCTATTTATGTACTCACACTTATGTATTCACACTGTAAGAGCCGATTGTTGAGCACTGTACGAGTAGAATCGGTACATACATACATACAAAATAAAATTAGATATTTCCTGCCAACGTTTCTTTCATGATCAGACGTTTATGCAGGCACAATCAGGAAATTAAGTCCCCAAGTCTGGGAATTGGCTCATGGCTGACTGTGAGTAGTCGTACCACCATAATGTCAAACATGTCAGGAAATCATCCAACCGGTAGAGAGGCTCAGGATCAGGCTGTGATCAGCTGCTGTGCTGAACTCATACAGTGTACGCCCAGATTGGTTTGGTTTTGTATTTGGACTATCCAAGGGTCACAACAATAAAGTCAAGTCATTATTCTTGTTATTATCACTGTTTTATCTACAGTCTACCAAAAAGGTATCAATGCAGGTACTAACATTCATTCATAGTCTTCAATAAATATTAAACATGGGGGTTAAAATAATGAAAAATATTAGAGAAGTCTTGCACATCTGTGTACACAGTGGGGATGTATGGGACCTTAGGGTCCATGTGTTTAAGTTAATGAATAAATAAAAATACACTGAAATTAGATATCCCCCTCCCCCCTAGCAGAGCTTGCGTGTTGTGTCGCTCATCACACAAATTACAATGAAATATTCTCAGCATGATGTCGCAACCTGCGTTCTCTTTTGAATTAAAGGGCATGTAATAATGAGTGCTTAATGTGCAGCTTTGGATGTTTGAATTCCCATCTTTAAAGACCCCCTGCGTCTGGTGGAGTCTTAATTTGTTGAAATTCAAACAGCAGGAGGGGAATCTTTTGATCTGTGTTAGCAGTAAACTTCAGAGGAAAAGTAAGAGATAAATACTGTTGTACACTTTATTTTCTTTTGTCATCCAAATCAGTGTTTCCGCTTTACTTAATCTGTCTTGACTTTTTACAAGCAATTTGGTAAATTACTCCTCATGGACTCATAATATCATAATGTAAGACAGAATATTATACATCCATTGTTTCATTTAGAAAATAATTGTTGGAGATATATCGGTGTCTAATTGCTGTCTTGTGTTGAGCTGAAGTTTAAATTCTTAGTATAGGGATGACATGTTCAATATTAAGTAAACTAATGTCCGATTGTTTTCCTGCTTTCACCTTGCAGTTTGAATAAAACAGTGTTTTTGTCGTCACGGTTAGTTAGTTCAAAGAAGAATTCAATTTATTTTTGTTCCCTCTCCTCTGTGCAGCAACTGTTAAAAATGAGAGAAGAAATGAAACAGCGAGAGGCGGAGCTGGAGAAGAGTTTGGAGGACAAACAGCAGCTGAAGAACCAAGTCCAGACCCTGAAGCAGGGACTGCAGAACCTGCAAAACACACACGCAGCGCAGGTTAGTGTGACGGGGGGGAGGAGGGGGGAAGACACATTTGTCAACAGCTACCAAAAAAGTATTCGCCAACTCCCCGCGGTGAATTTAAATATGAAAATGTAGTTTGGAGTTGCTCTCTAAGTTTAAAAGAGAACTCTAAAATCTAATTTGCATTTAAATAAGAACAGAATGAGTTCAAGCTGAGTTCCAACACATGAAGAATTTTGAAAATAGGTCATCAAAAACAAAAAGAAAGAACGTGATAGTTATAAAATTTAATTTTTAGGTTGGGACAATGATTTCAGGTTTCCGACAAATATCAGATTTTTTTTTTTTCTAAGCTCCTCAAATGTCCCAAAGTAGCTGTTTGTGTGCATCTGTATAATATCAACACTGCAGGGGAAAGCCCAGCACAGTGACACAGACCATTCCTGACTTCAGTCAGTGCTCTGGTGTTCACATTTTCCTCTCAGGGAGTTTAATATTCTCATTCTTCACATTATAATCCACTCTGTCATTTCCAATGTCTCCTCCAAAAAGTGAATGTTGGAGCTTTAAAGCAGCTCAGTCAGTGATCAAGCGTGTGATGATGTGTCCTTCATTCAGCCTTTATAAGTGAACTGTAATGAATCCAAGAGTCAGTAATCCACTTATAATCATTTGAAGGACTATTTGACATATTCTGAGTAGAACACTATTTTCCAAAGTTTCTAGTGTCCTCTAAAGTTTGTTCAAACTTTCAAAGATGGATCTTATTGTCAAAGCATTCAGTTCACAATAAATTACAAATATATATCCAAATATGTAGCTATATTTTAATAATCAATTAATAACCCTTTGATTTAAAGATTTAGAAAAAATACCTTTATTCCTTTAATACATGACGTTTAAAGCTCCACTGACAGGATTGTAGCTGGTTATGTAAAAGAATGAAAATAAAACTGAAGCCTGTTGATCAAAGGAAAAGTCTTTGTTTACATTTTCCACATTAAAAATGACTGTTTTAAGTGTGTACACGACAAGTTCTGTAACGTGATAAGAGGCACCACCTTGTCCACAGGGGGCGCTAAGAACCCAGTTGTAAAATTTGGTTGGATATTTATTAATTTGTATACATTAGGGTCAAGTGTGAAGCAAGTAATCTGACACTACATCACTACTGCAGTGCCCGTCCAGAGCTGGGCCTTTAGAAAAATTGTGTGTTGTCGTTCAGATCAACTCGCAGGACAGAGTTGTCAATTTGGTGTAATGGTGAGGGTTTGGTTAGAAATGTGTCCCTGTGACTGGGAGCTGTGGGAGAAATGCTAATTAAACCCCCTGCATGTGAGCACACATGAATCCTGAGAGGCAGTCTCATTAAAACGGAGGAAGAGAAATCAATGTTTGGGTGTAGGTTTCTCTGAAGATTAGCGGTCATTGTCGGTGATTTGTCATGTTGAGGACTTCTCTTTGTGCCATCAGTTCTCCTTCACTGGTCCAGTCACTGATTTGCTGTCACAGAGCCGCCGCCACACATTACTGGATTTACACCAGTGCAGTCATTGAGGCTGTTGGCACTTTTACTTACAGTATGATAAACATGAAAAAGTTAAATAAATGTCAGTGCTGCCAAAATGTTAAATTTTCTGCCATACTAAATTGACTATGATGTGAGAAGCGAGATTATTGTAACAAAATATTATTAGCCAGCAAAAAATAATCATTATCATAACTGAAAATCATGTGCCCCCTTAGACTGGGACTGGCTGTGGCTGCGTTGGTCGAGTTGGTCGTCTCTCAGCCAGAAGGTTGAGGGTTCAATCGCCAGCTCCTGCAGCCACATGTCCGAAAGAGTGTTCTGTTTTCTGCTCGTAGTGCGAGTAGTATCATCTTCTCATCACACAGGGTTAAAAGCTTATTTAATGATAGTTGAGCTTTAATCCATGTCTTTAAAAGGGTGTCTATATGCACAAGCAACTTACAATCCCCTCCTCCATGACATCTCTAAACTCCAACACTGTTTTTTACTGCGTCTCAGGTTGCTAGTTGGACTGTAAACAATGGCAAGCAAATAAGGAAGTGTTGTTCAGATGTCCTTTATTGCTTTGACCAGAGGCACCAAAAGTTTGGCCATCAGTCTACAGTGTAGTCAGACTGATGGCCAAACTTTTGGTGCCTCTGGTCAGATCTCATTTTAACTGTAACACTAGGTGCTGCTAATAAAAAAAGGTCAACTTATCTGGTGAGCACAACAGTGAAATACATTTTGGGATGGACACAACAGTGGTTAAGGATCTTGGTTCAGCATTAGCCAAACCCATCACCAAAATCATTAATCTCTCAATATCACAGGGTGAATTTCCAAGGGTGTGGAAATCTGCAGTTATTACACCAATTTACAAATCTGGTGATCCCCATTCACCCTGCAATTATAGGCCCATCAGTATTATTCCTATTAGTTGTCTGTTTTTGCACACCGAGCTGTGTGCATCCACACACGCCAGTCTGTCTACATTAGCACTTACCTTGTTTCTTTGCCTCTTGTCTTCGTGTGTTTGTGATGTGCCGCAGCTGGAGATGTCGAAGCAGGACGACAGAGGCAGTGAGGAGAATCAAGCCAGTGTAAGTGGGAAAAAAAAGAGATCTAACCCTGAATTCTCCTCTTCACATATTGTTTTGTGTCCTCATTTCTCCCGCTCCTCCTCTGACTCTCCTCTCTAAACTCTTCCTCTAACATGACAGATCATTACAGGCCGATCCAATTCACTGCCATCACATTTCTCATTGAGTAAATCAGCACAGACACAACTAGGCTAAGAAATAAAGGAGTCATAAAGACACAATGACTCGCAAATGTGCGTCTGTCTCCACACCCACACACACTGACACACACTGTCAGGGTGTAATGGATAGATTAAAAACAGAAAAAGGCCAACAGGCATCCCACACCATAAGTGAAAAGAGTACACACACACACACACACACACACACACACACTGTTATGGAGGACCACAAACAGCAAACACTCCTCTGACAAATGTTCTATCACGTCAGACATCTGAAACAAACAGTTTGATCATTTCTTCTCTCCCTCTATTTCTTCTTCAAACACTTCGTTTGTGTGTGTTTCTGATGTGTTCAATGTATTTTATGTTTGTCTTTTTTTTGATAGTGCTTACGTTTGCTGGCTTGTTTATTACTTTAGCAGTGACTGATGTGTGTGTTTGTGTGTGTTTGTGTGTGTGTGTGCAGGAAGCCACAGTCTCTGCAGTGGTGAGCTGCAGTCAGGAGAAAGAAGGTCCAACAGAGAAGACTCCATCGAGTCCTGTCCACTCTGAAAGAGAAGCTCTGCTAGTCGGTACGCTGACACGGATGTTTTGCATTCCTGTTTTACAGTTTGACGAAAGCTTTTTATTTGCTGAATTTTAAATTTTGAATTGCTCACTTAATTTGTAGCAATGTTTACGAGGACAAACACATTGTGTAACACTATTGTGCATTTGTAGGAATACCCTTTTTTTCCCACCTCATGATTTCTGCTTAAGCTGATTTATAGTCGTTTTTTGGAACTATACTCTCTTAAAGTTAAATATAAATCTAATAATTTATCACAAAAAAGGAAACTGGAATTAAATGATGATTTTAAAGTAACATTATGCTAAAAATAATAATGTAAAACATCATCTGCCATATTTAAAGGCTATAGTGTTTATAACTGTTCCAAATAGTAACACATACCAGCTGCACCACTCTGTCTCCCTTTATCTTTCTCTAAGAATGAAGCAGTTTTAAAGTCTGCTTTGAATTCTACCAGTGTGTGCTCCACCAGCAGCTGCTATCCAACCTCTGTAGTCTCTGCAATGTGAAACTCCTAAAAGCAAGTTTTGCAAGCTGGTATTATAAAAGTTGTTCAAGGACCAGATAGTCAGATAATCAGACCATGAAACTTTTCCTATTTCTTGACATGAATCTCTCTGTTCTCTGCAGATAAAGGCAGTTCAGATATCAGTAAAATCATTTCCTGTATTATTTCCCTTTGCTGGGGTTTCTGTGTTAATACTGTAATGCGACCACAGCAGCATCCTCCCTCTCCTTGCTGCTGCCAATGTGTTCAAATTGAAAATGAGAGGTGATGGCAATAACAGCATGCTGCCTGAAAGAACTGCACACTGTGTTTTTAAGGTTTGAGGATCAATAATTAGTACAAATATGACGTGTTTTCACACAATGTCATCTCTGATGAGACATTAAAATTCTTCAACGAATGAACAAACACAACTGTAAACCTGGCCTACGTTTAATAAGATGGACTCAATGTTGTATACAATGGGCATATTCTGATCATATGGGGGCCTCAAGGTGGATCCTGCATTACTGCTTGGGTCAAAATCTGGTTTATAAGGACCTGTATTATTTCAGGTATTGTGCTAACACAGTCTAGATTCCTAATGAGAGTACTATGAAGTTGTTGGCATAAGACAAACCTGGGATAATTTAATGTGCTTTCTATGGCTGCAGGCACTGTGCTTTATGAGATAGATAATGGAAATAGAGAAGATTATTAATGAAATCACTGAATGGTTGAAAAGTTGTGTCAGAAGGGGCCCAACGGCTCTGATTTGCCCAGGGCAGCCTCGCAGGTTAGTGGTAACAGGTGTGAATGCTCCAAAAGCACAAGCAAACATTCCTGTGTTTCGAATACAGCATGGAGTAAGAAGCCTTACAAGTTTGTAGAAACACTGAAATCAAAGGGGGAACAGATGCAGAGCTGATTAGTATAATAAGCTGTTGTCTCATCTGCAACAGTTTAGAATGAGCTACAAATGTTTATGACAATTTAAATCACAAACTTTGGATTCCCCTCAGATGCAGAATTCATTTTATAGTCATAGTTTGCATTTATTGTGAGTTAAAAGACTCCAAGGATGATGAACAGGGGAATATTTGTCTGAAATTGGAGGAAAAGTTGGAGCCGTGGAAACTATTAAAAGTTTAACTGTCATTGTTTGAAACATTTACTGATGGCGCACATACATCGTGTGGGCGCATGTTGTCACTGCAAACGTCTGCACTGTCAGCTGGAGATGTTCATTGGCCCTTCAAGGCAAATAAACACAGACGGCAAACCCACTCCAGTGGGCTGTTTTATGAAAATAAATCAACAGCATCAAATACTTTATGCTACGTCCCAGTGCACCAGTAGAATCTCTTACTTTTTGCTGTTGGAGCAGCTCCAGGCGAGCATGTTGATTAAGTATGAACGACCTCCTGCAAGCAGCAAATTATAAGGTCATGGAGTTTGAAATTCCCCCTTGAGAGTGCCTAGAAATTCTGGTATTCTTGCTCTAGTGTTCAAGATAATGTAGAACTATGTGACTAACACTTTTGTTTAACTGTTGATCTTTGGTTGCTCTAAAGGTAGAAGGTAGTTAGTGAGGTGGAGGATTATCTCTCTCATGTCCCGGTGAGCTGATAGCAGATGGTTTGTTTGAGCTGAGCTTTGACGAGAGGCAACAACATCAAAAGCTGTCATTAAACACTTCCTTTAATCAGGAGCCACAATGGAGAGGGGAGGAGGGGAGGGGAGAGGAGGGAGAGAGAGAGAGGAGAGGAGAGGAGAGAGAGGAGAGGAGAGGAGAGGAGAGGAGAGGAGAGGAGAGGAGAGGAGAAATCCTCTTGCAGTTTGTCATTGTTTGACAGGTGACAGGAACTGGAGTTATGTGCCACATCTCCTCCTTTACTTTATCTTTGCATGACTGGTTTGTTCCTCCTCAGGGATCATCTCCACGTTCCTGCACGTCCATCCGTTTGGAGCCAGCATCGAGTACATCTGTTCCTACCTGCAGCGTTTGGACACAAAGGTAACAGACACAAACCTTCACTGTACCAGCTGTATGTCACTGATCAAAGAACAGCAAACTTGAAAGCAACATGATGTGGGACTTCAAAATATATATATATATATATATTATATTATATTATATTATTATTATTTATTTTTTTACTTCTATTCCCTTTAAATTAAAAGGTATTTTTTACTCAGTGGGTTGTAAAGTTCAGTATGGTACAGCTATTAATAGAGCATTGTCTGTGGTTTGTGAAAATGTATTTGACTTCTGTAAATGCTTTTAAACCATGGGCACATACCTGAGCACAGCAGGGGAAACACTTCAAGAGATTAAAAAAACATCCACAAGGAACTTTCTGAAATATGTCACTAGATGTTGCTTAGAGGTAAAACTTATCACAGACATTTAGGAAAGAGTTGAATTCTGGACACGGTTTCTCTCCCGTTTCTGACCTTGAGTTTCATAGCTGTCTGTCTGACCTGATTCTGCTAGCCTTGCGATTTCCTTTGATGCTGAAACATATCAAAACTAGGTCCGTCATTCTGACACATGCAGCCGAACACCATCCTCCATCTTTAAACACCCCGAGTTTCTATGTCTGCTGAACCACAGGCAGTTCACCTTTCTGCCAAAGTGTATCAGACATATTATCGCTCTTCACTTCCACTTATATGAGGCTTTCAAAATGCCAACATTCAATGTCACCTCCAAAAGGAAACACAGAGATTAATGGTCATGTCTGCTCCCCGCCCTGACATGAGGACCTTCAGGGGGGAAAAAAAACAGGTTTCTCTGCTCCCTTTACCATCAAAGATACTAAAACATCCAACGTGAAAACACCAGATTTCAGGTTACTCAAAGTTTCTGTATTGTTGAAAAAGTGATTTGTTGTGCGCAAAATATTCGTCATGTACACAAGGTTGCTGCCAGATGAAACTCTTTGAATATGCCCATCACCATCCTGACTCATCAGCACACATGCAAAGAAAATATTGTGACTGTATTCTCTCGTGCCTTTTGTGGACACTGAAAGTATAAAGTGAAAGTACGTGCATGAGCAAACACCCACACTTGTTGGTCTGTGTGAATATGAGTTTGTATGCATTGTGTGTTGCTCGGCTACACACATAAAGCAGCCCACAGAGTTGTTATGAACAACACAGACTCCCCAGAAACAAGAACTGATCCAGTCTTCTTATCTACACGCTCCACACACAGCTCCATTGTGTGTAATGTCACACACGTCTTATCTCCATGAAGGACCTTAATGCATCGTGACATCAACACAGAGCCTGAACAATCTACTTATTATTGAGAGACGCTGTCGACAACAGCTCGTACAGTGAATCGTGGCAGCGTCACCTCTGAATTTTAATCGACTCGTCATCCCCAGCCCACCTGAGTGGTGTGAGCAGGATTACGCTGTCAGACTCTAACTTTGAGTTTGTACTGATCTGACGATGTTTAAAGAGTGGCTATTTAAAAGCTGAAAGATTATGACTACGCCTTTTTCATAGCAACATAACTTCCTCACTGTGAGTGATAAGTAGATTTTAAAATCTAAAAGGAACATGGGTTGAAAGCTTCTGGAAAATGACTCCAACAAAAAGAGCAACATCTGCACAGTGATACCAACGAAATGATTTTCAACACAATGTTTCATCCGGCTCAGAACTTTGCAGAAAAAATGTTTGAAAATAAGTTTTACACCCAAATAGAGTATAAAAACAATTCATATATGTAATGGACATTTAACACATGTCTTTTTGAACACATTTTGTGTTTGAGTGTAACTATATGCATTAATTTATTTTTAACAATATTCATTAATAAACAAGTAATAATGACTTCATGTGCTCCTGTTTTGTGCAGAACCTTTCAAATGAACAGCCAGTTTTTATTTGAAGCTGTTTCATTGATTTCTCAAAGCATTATTTGGAGATAATGACCAGGTGCTAAGTTGTCATCAGTATGGAGGATGGCCCTGAAAGATTCATTTTCCCATGCCCAATACACAACTTAGTCTCAAATAGCCCAAAGAAGAAGAAAACGTTGTTTCAGTTTTAAGAAGTCCAGGTGATCAAAATAAATTCTGTTTTTTAGATTTACTGTAAGAATAAGTATTGAAGATTAAACCGTGAAAGACAAAACAATATAAAACATGGAGAATAAGTTACATTGCACTATAAACTGCTGAATGTGCTATCACCTCTGATTGATATTAAAATCCAACTTACAATCTGAATAATGATAACACATTGAAAATTATCAGTATACAGACTAAAACAAGATATCTGACATTCTCCGGCAGAGAGCTTTGCAGCTGGAATAGATGTCCCCTTCCAGGAATGTTTGGGACACTCCTCAGTGTGAGGAGGTGAGCTTTAGGGTTTCTGGGTACCACACTATATTAAGGGTCATATGGGGTTAAATACATCTTTGATATGAGCAGAAACTTGACCATGTGAAGCTTAAAATCAGTGTATTTAGTCAATGAAAAGCATCCCTGAGTAATGTAGTTGCCCCTCTTGAAGAAGTTCAGTGTCATGGCCTTTTAATGAGCTGTATTCAATAATCGTTTCCCTGTGAGACCAGAACAAATCACATTATTACAATGAAGCCTAGAGGGGATACAAGCATGAATGACCTTCTCTGGATCTCTGAATAAAACACTTGTGCAGCAAGCAGCACCCGTGCAAGTGACACGAGGGCTTCTGGTGTCATATTTGTTAATTTGCTATCTAAGCTAGACATAAGATTACAAATAGCACTGAGGCTCTAATAGAAAATTATCAGGACCAAAGATAGACCCTTGAGGAATTCCATAGTATACATTGCTAGAGAACAGACTTCATCTGCCACAGGAGAAAGAACATTCTATTAACCTGTGCCTACTAATGCTAACAGGTTTTTCCTAACTTCATAAAATATCTCAGCTCTGATATGCCTTGTAGCTCACTGCATAGATCATATGTCCGTATATCAAGGCCAGGATATTTAAAACCAAATTCAACAGCCGCAAGTCCCGGGTGACATATTTTAGAGCAAAGCAATTCTAGTATTTTTTAACAGAGTTGATTGGCATTCATACAGAGCAGCTGCCATCATTTTGTTAAATCTAATATAAAACTGAACAGGAATATAGAAGTACCTTGGGTGTTATTACTATGTACTCTCTGTTAGAACATGAATACGTTCCCTTGATTTCTTGTCTAACCCTGGTCTGGTATGTGTGTCTCTTCAGATAAACACCAGTGAGGTGGAGGCTCTTCTCTCTCGGCTGCCTTGCACCTTCATACAGGAGCTGAGTGGAGTCGGAGCCAGTCTGGAGAAAAGATGGAAATTCTGCGGCTTCCAGGGCATCAAGAGCACATAGAGTCTGCTGGCTACACTTCCAAGATGTGGAGGAGAAGACAGGAAGACGAGGCTCAACATAAGGAACACTGTGGAGATGTGAAGGACAGAGTATGAAGCCCACAAATATCAGAGACTGTGGACTCTACCTGACTGTTCAAGGACACAGAAGACTGAGCAGAGAGGATGTTACATGAGCATTTTCAGGGACTCTGAGCAGGTGGCAGAGACTGAAAGACGCAGCATTCCCATGGTTACTGGAATAATGTCACACAATCATGAAGACAGAGGCTTCTTGAGCATGGACTCTCACTGAGCTTCTCAATGCCTGCAAAATATTTCTTGACCTAAAGACTTAAAGAGTCACAGAAGTGCACCGACTCCTTCAGTCACTGGACTCTCAAGTCGTTAAGAACCACGTGGGCTGGGCGTCGTACTTTCTGAGCCAACAGTCGGCTCTGTAAAATGTCATTAGTTTGGTTCCATGATCATGACCCATCCTTAAAATAGAAACACAGTTCATTGGAGCCATTCTAGGCTACAATCTTTTGATGAACTTGTTGAACACAGTTTGGACATTCTCAGTTAAAACAACATGTAAACTTATACAGTATGTTGTAACACATGGTATGTACATATACAAGTGAAATGAATATAAGTGAAAAAGTATTTTTGTGGATGCAAAGATTTTTGTTATTTTTTTATCAAAAATAAATTAATTTATATGAATACACATCCCAATTTGAATGGTTATTTTATGTAAATATGGAAATTACTTTTATTTAAATCACGTTCTAATTCAAGTTGACCATTTCATCAGATTTTAGATTTCCCTTATGTTGCCAAGTAATCACTATTTATTTTGTACATGAAATGCAAGAGGATTTTTATTTTTTTGAGAAAATGATTTTGCTATAAAATCATGATTAAAAATCTCTTTATTAAAATGGTTCTCAAGATGAGTTCCTGCCACCAAATGGGTCCCTGCAATACATCTGAGGGATAACAAGATAAATATTAGGTCTTTTTTTTATATATATTTTTATTTCTAGTAAGATACTTGATACTTTGACGTTTTTGGGACACCTGCAAATCCTTCAAATACAACAATCTAGAAATAAATGATGATTATGCACCAAAAATAAATGTTTGACTACAGTACCACTCTGAGACATCTGTTTTAAAAAATATAATTACGAGGTAGCTCATATTAGCTGATCTTACAGGAAGTGTTAGTGAAATTTGAAACTGCTTTTTCTCTACCTGTAATGAACAGTATCATCAGTGAGGTGGAACAGTTATCTGACCTCTCTGATGGCAAACATCCTGATCGGTCTGTCTGCGTTCATGCTGCTCATCCCTCTGCAGTGGATCCCGCAGCTTGTCCTCTACAGCCTTTTCCTCTACATCAGTGTCCGGTGCTTGATGGGAACCAGATGCTCTACCTCATGGTCCTGTTGAAGGAGCAGGTGAGCAGGGTGAGGTTTGATGGGCTGGTCTGCTTACTTTAGTGCTAAACCTTACTGTATCACTTACGTTATCTCCCCTGTAGTTGTTGTTTTTTTTCTCATAGATGGTTATTCTAGAAATAAAGAAATAGCTTTTCTTTTTATATTTATAAGACATACTAACATTCATGTACACAGGCTTATCAATTATTCATCAAAAACAATTTTTTACATATCAATGATGCTTTTAGTACTGTAATAGTGAAATATATTGTTTGTAATGTTTTTAAAATTATTTATAAATAAAATAAAACATAAAAGTATTTCAACTGTATCTTACCTGCTCGTCTTTGTCCTCCAACCCACTTCATCGTCCGTGCGCCTCAGAGGAAGGTCCACTACTTCTGTGGGATGCAGGTGAAACAGCTGATCATGATGATCCCTCCTCTACACTGACCACTCGACTCTGTATAGAATGAATGTAACTGTGCAGTATGACTTATATCATCCGTCCTCATCTCTCTGTGTTTCATCTCAGGACCAGCCTGCTTCTCAGAAGAATCGACACCAAGTATCTGGAAACCATGGACTCGCAGCACATGTAGAGCAGCAGAGAAACCTTAAAGGATTATCTCCAGCTGGAAGGGAAACAGACTCACAACTCAGTGATTGTGTTACTAATTACACGTAATACATTTAGACTGCAAGAATGTAATGCACTCTGCTGGGGACTGTTTTTACATTGCTAATTTATTTTCTGACTGTTCACCACACATTAAGCATCTTTTTGATGTCGCATTCCTGCACCTAGACAAATAAAATATTTTAAAAAGAACTGAATTGACTTTTTCATCAAACTGAAACTCCATGAAAAACACACATGAAGAGTAACTGATGACACTCACCTGAGCTTCAGGATTGTTTTTACATGCCAGCAGTCTTAAACGGCACAGCAGGACCCTGGCATACAGCAGGACCATATGTCAGGGCAGACGGGGGAATTATTCTTTGTCACTGTTTCCAGGACATGTGCTTATGTCTGTGTGTGTGTGTGTGTGTGTCTGTTACCTTTTGCCTGTTTTGCCTGTGCCTGTTAGTGTGTAAACCTTCCCAGGGACTGCAGATGAAATCTAGCTAATCAGCTAAATCTGGCGCAATGCATCTCCTCTCTTTAATTGAGATGAATGTGTTTTGTACATGGTACTCTGCACAATAAATTAAACCAACTAAACTAAACATTAGTGTCCAAATGCTGCAGATAGGTCCACATGTACTGCATGGCGGCACCAAACGAGTGGACGTGCAGAAAAGTTGAAATGATCCCTGAGGTTCAACAAACAGGTCACACGATTAAAGTGTCAAAATACATTCTGTAAAAGAAGCTAAGGATGAAAGTTTCTGACTTTAAAACACAGCGCATTATTTCAAATATAACCAGAAATCGCTGTGGTAAGTTTTCTGACACCTGCTTAAAACCCAAAAGGTCAGAAGGATCGTGAGGCCCTGCTTTCACGGTCTGTATTCATACTGAAAATCAAGAACAAGCGAGAGGTTTCTGTCCTCCCTTTTCATTCAAAATCTGAGATTTTGTTTGTTTGTTTTTCTTAACTTTATTGTTTGTTTGAATGAAATAAAATTTACCAAAAAAAAAATAAAATCACTTTCTATTTTTCTCCCTCTACATGTCTGACAATAACAAACTTAGCAAGGATCCATCATGTGGCTCTTTTCAGACTCCCAACACTGTTGAGAGCCTCTTGTACAGGCTACAAAATAAAGGTAGCGATTAATGCTGCCATCTCATTTCAAATCTAAAACTCTCCACCAGCTCACCTGACCCATCGGCTCTCCACTCTCTAATAGAGCAAGGAGAGAGCTAGCGCTCCATCCTCTGCTTGTTGTTAGAGCACCATGAAGCTGTTAAAAGAACTGAAAACGTCTAAGAAGCACTTCTTCGTTCCTTTCAGGGTTAAAGCTTTGTTTGAAACTAAAACTTATACCACATTTATCGAGTCTGACCTCACAATAAACTTCTCTCCTTGCTCATCATCTTTGTGGACAAAACTGTGCTCCATCGACTTGAGAGTGCAGCTCCGCACAATGTAAAAGTGTGGATGGAATCCTTCACCTTCAGATGAAAAACAAGAGCATACTGAACGCAGCAGGTCAGCTTTACGGGTGTGTCTGCGCCCAATCATTAGCACTATATGTTTTGTGAATTAGACCACGCACATCATCCATGTACTCGTCCTCAAAAGCTGTATGTTGGGCTGTAAATGTAGTGATGCCATGGAGACACAGTAAAACAGCTTATTGTTTCCTTCAATGTACGAAACTGAAATGATTCTTCTCTAGAAGATGTTCTTGTCAAGGCTGCAGGACGCTGCTGATAATGCGAGAAACACAACAAAAAGGACTTTTGTGTTCAAGCCAAGGCATCACATTACACATTTAAAAAAACAGGAAAGTGTAGGCCCTTAAAGATACAGGCTGCTGTAGAAAAATCTAAAAGGGACACATGACATTTGAGCATTAATTAACTGGACAATACAAATGCACAAAGAAGTATTCATAAGTAAATGAATAAAACCAATAAAACTGGACGATAAGTACAAAATAAAATACTTTAAAGTAGACCATCATACAGAGGAAGATATAAAGGATAGAAAAGGACAAAGCCATTACAAGTCATTAGACTTCTGACACAGCAGCAGAACAGAGGTGTGTGTGTGTGTGTGTGTGTGTGTGTGTGTGTGTGCATGTGCGTGTGTGTGTGATGCAGTAAAATATTTTATGTTTTTTTTGTGAGTGACATGTTTAAAAAGATTTTCTTGGCAATCAAAGGTGGTCTTGTCTAAACAGGACTCTGTTTCCTCATATTCTTTGCTAATGTGAGAGTGTGCATGTATTAGAGCGTGCACATATACAGTATATACTGCATGTGTGTTTTTATGGAGCAGCAAAGAGCCTTCATATTGTAACCCAGTTGTGTCAGGCTGATTTATTCAGTGACAGAACAGTCCCTGTGAAGATTGACTTTAATGATATGTCACTTCAGCAGAGGTTTAAAGAGAATAAGAAAAAGGACATGAGAAGTAAGTTAAAAGAAAAAACACATTTAGTGTGGAACTGTGAGGTCGGAGGTTGTTTCCCTCTGACAAGCCTTGATTATCACTCTGCTCACTCCCTCTGTCATCTTGTTTCAACATCTCCAGCTTGAGTCAATTAGAAAAGTGAGAGGAAATGTCAATGAGAGACAAGTCAGCCACTAATGTAATTAGGCTCCTAAAGTCGTTTGTCTGACTTTCACCTTCACACACTGACATACACTTTGACACACGCATATAAACATGAACTGGTTCAGCAGGCCGAGGAAGCAAAGAAGAAAGTTTCTGCTGCAACTTTGAAAGGTTTTGGTAAAATGTCACAGAATAGTACCAAAATAATCCTGATTTATTTGATTTAAGGGTGCTCACACCTGAGCTGTTTGGTCCGTTTAAAACAAACTCTGGAGCGCCTTGTCAGATAGCTGGTTTGGTTTGGTGTGGTATGAATGCTTAGACGAACTCTAGTGTGAAACTGAACTGGTCTGCTTGAAAATAGTGGTCTTGGTTAGCTTCCAAGTGCACCAGAGTTTGGTTCGCTGTAGGTAAGACACGCGATCAGAAGCTAAACAAGGGAAGTGAACCAAAAAGCAGTGCATTGTGGGTTAAATATATTTGGGTATTTCAGAATTAACAGCTCATGTCGAAGAGCTTTGCAGAGTGTGGCATTGCTAACAACAGCAGCCTTCAGTCCTCCGCGCAGGCTAACGTCCACATGCCTGTGCTAAGTGTGGCTACACAATACTGAGGTCTATATTGTAGTTTAACCTGACACAACAGATATTTAACTTTTTTTCCTTTTTACAGATCAAAATACTGCTATACTCTACCGCTCTACGGGATGCCTTTTTTCTACTGTCCTGTTTACAGTACTTTAGGGTCATACTGCAGCATTAGGCCATATGGCAGTAGCCACTGACCAGAACTACAGCCCCAACTAGAGGCTATTGGCTATTGGAACCAAGATTTGACAGGCTTTGATGCTCTTGACAAAGTGCAGTGTCAAAGCAAAGCAAACCAACTGAAAAATGAAACTCTGTTAAAACTTCACCCCAGAGTCGTACCAAGGCCACCAAACTTCAAATTTGAAAGTGACCTAAATTACATCCACAGAATGTAACAAAGGCACTCAAAGATTAACTACCGTCTAATC